GAAGTTACCTTGTCCACCTCGAGGAGATCGTCTAGGAAGCTGACGGTGGCCCGCCACAAACCCATCAGATCGTCCAAGTAGCCGGGCGTCTTGCTGGAGTCGAAGAACCCGGCCAGCCTCATGTGAAGGGCGGCGGCGCGCAAGTGCAGATTCACGACGGCACCCAGCTGTTGAGACATGATGGACGCATACAGCTCTGAATACTCGCGCCGGTATACCCTCATGAGCATCGCCCTGTGCTCGTCTCCGGCGACGCCTCTGGGGTCGCTTGCATTGCTATACATTTCCTTGGAAACCTTGTCGCAGAATCTCTCAATCTGGAGTCGGGCCTCTAGGTCAGGAGAGAGATGCAACGCCGGGTCGTCGCCGGGTCGGAGGGCCAGAGTCCAGTCATACAAGGAAGAAGCTGGTTGGCCGTAGCCAGTGCCGATGTTTTGTGCCACAATGTTGCACACGGCCCACGTAGCGACACGGTCGGCAAGTTGCTCCTTATTCAGGTCGATTGACGTTCGAGAGAAGTCTTGGATGTGGTTGGGGCGATGCAGTCCGATCCCAGTCGCCGTCTTCATCATGACACCGCAGAGGATGTGGGTCGGGTCAGAAGTGGTTGTGCTGGTGGGTAATGGCCAGGCGCAGAGCAGGCACATTGCCTTGACGACGTAGTAATTGCTAGGCACTTCGCCGATGGTGGTCCACAGGAACCTGGTCAGTGGTCCAGAGAGGTTGGAGATGAGGTTGGCGCAATTGGCAGGGCTAAACCGACGGGCAGCGACAGCGACAATGGACCAAAACAGGAGAGGGTGCTGTTGGTGATATTGGTCTGGGGACTGCTGAGGATTCAAAAATGGAAGGAATGGGTGGTAGAAGGCGAAGAATTCGTTGAACAGATGGGTGACGGCTTCGTCGGTCAGCTGGACCCCTTCCAACTCGTGAGAGAATCGCGGCATGCTATACGAGCCCCCTCTCTTGAGGTGCAGTAGGGACGACACGGCCTCGTCAGAACCCATTAGAGAAGGATTTCGCGTATGAGAGTAGGTCGCGGTGCTCGGCGCCATGGGGGAGTTGAGAGTGTCATCGTCGTCGAGGAGGTAGCCTTGGGCCTGGGCGCGAGCGATGTTGCGCCGTAGACGGTCAATCTCCTTTTCCATCTCGGCATGCTTGGATCGCTTCCCAATGCGCTTGAAGTTGGATTCAATCTTGCACTCGAGCTTTAGGCGGTTGCACCGTGAGCAGCTCTGAAACGGTTCTTGAACGACATTACACCGCAACTATTGCGCAACAATTGAATCACGAATTAGCCACCATAACAAGGCAATCAATTGCAGACCGCGCCGGGGGGGGACACAAGACAGGACAGGACAGGACAAGGCAGAAGAGGGCAGGGCATTGATATATCAGAGCATAGCAGAGCAGAGCAGAGCAGAACAAAGAAATAAAAGCATCAACTCTCTCAGACTCCTCGCGTATCTGGAAACAACAGGCGGGTTATGGTGGGGGAGGCGAGCATCGGGGAGATGGCAGGGTCGGAGGGGCTGACTCACCTTTTGCTGGCGACACTCGTTGCACGCGCGCTTGACGCCCGGCTGTCGCTTCTTGTCGTGATCACCGTTCTCGTGGTGGTCGCCGTGTTCATCTTCGTTGATGCTGCCGGGGCTGCTCTCGAGGCCCATGCCACCGCTTCTCTTGCGCTTGGGCATTCCGTTGCCGTGGCGGGAGCTGGCAGGGCTGGTCGGGCTCATCGAAGGGGCCCCCCGGCCAACACCTGGTGAGCCATCCATACCGATGTTTTTCTTTGGAATCGACGTGTATTCTGCCTCTGCGCTGGCCAAGAGACGGTTGCTTGGCAGCGGCGTCTGCAGCGGTTGGGAGACGCTGTTGCGGTGCGAGGCCGATGGAGGGGGCCGCTCGCTACAGCTTTGGAGGGCGATGTCGACTGGCGGCTTTGGAGCAGGCCGGGCTGGTCGCGCGAGGCTGCGGCGGAACAGCGGCGGAGGCCCGGGGATGCAATGGAGGCCGGTATGTGTGAGGACGGATTGGCTGGTCCTGAGGCCGAATGCGGACGATGATGCTGGTATGGCCCAGGATAGCCTTTTTTAATTTTTTTGGTGATGGCGGAGGGAAAAGTCCAAAAAGCTGGAGCACCCGCAGAAAGGTTGATGTGTTGGAACCAGACGGTACCTGCCGGCGGCGCCAAGTGACTAGGGGAGAGGCCCCGCCGTCAAGTACAGCGCAGGTACTCCGTAATTGCTTAGCTGCAGCGCTCCGGCCGTCAGTCAGTCAGTCAGTCACGTCGAGTCGAGTCCGTCCGTGACAGCAAATGCACCACCGGCCGGCGAATTACTGGGTAATTAATTATAGTAGTCGGTAGTAGTTTGGTTGTCCTGGTCCTTGTCCTTGTTTTTTGTTTGTGTGTTTGCTTGTTTGTTTCCCTCCCTCTCTCTCTAGTTTATATACATCTATTTCGACACTTATATATGAATCACTTAGTACCTAGCGGTACTTGGGCATTCCTCTCTCGCAATAAGTCCTGCACAATTTCGCTGCTCCGTGCTTTGCTGTCTGTTCTGTTCTGTATGCAAGTGCTCGCGGCTGCCATTCGCCGGCGCCGCCCAACCTGCAGCCCGTGTCCAAACAGACCCAGAAATGGCCCAGACGGCCCCCCAGACGTTGCACCAAATGGAGCCCACAAGGCGTGGAGCCCAAGAGGCGAGGGCAGCCACAGTGGGGTCCCCGAGCGCTGATTGGCTCTGCGCCACCTGGGACGTCACGTGAGGAGGCTGGCTCTGCCGCCGGGCCAATCACAGGCGGGCAAAAAATATTCAGAAGCGGGGTATCATCAAGCTGCGACTGTGGGAATCCTGCGCCGTTGCCGCTGCTGATTGGCCGGCTGCCGTGGAGGGCGTCGGTCTCATGGCAAGGTGCAGCACTAATGCCGCTGTGCGCAGCGGAGCTACTGAGTTTGTCTGCACCAGAGCAGGTACTTGGCCTCTACTTGTGGTGACTTGTGCCTTGGTGGCGGCCGAGGAAGCATTTCGTCGCAACAAGAGCACACACGAGCTAGCACAAACAAATGCGCTCCGTATTACCCTTCTGCTGCTGCTGCTACGAGTGCTTTACTGCTACTGCTAGTGCTGGTGCCTCAATCTGTGACTTGTTTGGTACGCATGCCAAGTACGAGTACGACGCTCCATGTGATATCAGCCACAGCCAGCCGTGCAAGGGGTGACTGTTTTCCGTTTTGCCTTTCTACCATGTTGGTATTAGTAAAGTCAGTCATGAGTTTGTTGTAGGTATTGGTCGTGCTGTATCTTGGAGGTAGAGGCACCAAGGTATAAAAAGCTAGATACATTCCAGGCACACGTATTGGCAGTTCAATCACATTGTACCTCTGCACTAACACGGCATCTCTCTCAATGCTGGATGTGATGCTTTACCTTAGTAAGCACACGGCTCACCGTCACCCTCCCAAAGCCAGCAGAGTCAGAACAGAATGTCATCATCAATGCTCTCTTCCCCAAAACCCCCATCACGAAATATCTCGAGATCCAATTCCCCCTTCAGCTAAACCAACTCATCTCTCATCTCATGCGTCAGCCTCGGCATCGGTGGATCGTGCTGCATCTGCCAGATACGGCGTAGTGCCGGCCAGCTGGAGCTAGCCCCTGGCCGTTGCTCTCATTCCATCTTATCATAGACAAATCGGAATCGCCTGTCTCATCAGCCAACGTGGCACGTCTCCGTCTCGACACCGCCTTACGCGTAGACATCCAGTCAAGCACCCAATTGCTCTGTTCCTGACGTGGGATTAGCTTGAATAAGCTTTGTCGCCAATCGGGAGACCGTCAGACACCTTTCCTAGCCGGGTGTTCTTGTGCTGGCGCCCCGATTCTTCTCTCGTCTTCTGGAAGCGTGGGGTAAGGTTAAACTTACAGTATTCCTCAACAGACATCTTTTTCCTTTGCTTCATCTACAAAGTGATTGCTGAATCAGCAATCCTTGTTTGAGCATTGAATCCAGCATCAGCCGTTCATACCCTTCTCCGTTGCTATTGGTTCCCTTTCTCTGTGTGGGTTGTTGCCATTCGGCGCATTGCATTTGTGTGACACTGCGTGTCATGATGACGGACACCACACCAACGCAACCACCCGTCAAAAGGGTGCTGAAACCGGTCCCCGATCGTGGGATTCGGGTGCAATCGTCCAAAACAAAATCCAGCCATCAATTTGCTCTTCCCGGGTCCTTGCCGGAGCCTGGTGGGTGCAGCGCTGACTCGCCATCCCAAAGTGTATGTACGGTATCACTTACATGACTTGCCAGAAACCATCCGGATCAACACCGCTTTGGTGCCACAGCCGTTCCTGGAGCCGGACAAGCTGGAGCAGTGGAAATGAATCACAAGGAATACCTGATTATTCTAGTATTACGACTCTCGGCTTTATTCACTTCACTCACGAGCGTTCGGCCGGAAATACAACACTTGGCGTCTGAGCTCCGAAAGCCACCTGACTAATCGGCTCCGGTTCGTAATCTCTGGCAGTGATACGCGAGAAATCCCGGGGTTTGAAGGGATTCCAATGCTCACCAAGAACTTACTCACGAGGCTAGGGTGGTCACAACAGCCTCTTTTGCCATGCCTGATGCTACAGTGCCGTTTCCCACAGCCGACGCTATCAATAGTTTAGCAGGTAGTGCCGTGTCGAATCTGGCACCGACCCCGCACAGGCCAAGGTAGATCGCCATCTCAAATTCTATCACCGGCTCGGCTAGCAAGTGGGTTGAATAGTAGAAACAGACTCCTTGCTCAAGCCATCCGGCGGGATACATAAATAGCTGCACTCAAGACAAAAGAGCGTTGGCAATACTCGTTGCAGAACCTCCTGACCTCGATCACATTTTGAAGCCTTACGGATTTTTTATTTATTTATTTTTTGATTTTTTTCCCCCCATCGTTTCTATATCTTCTTCCTCGCTTCAACAAATACCAGGCCAACGCATATAAAATGTTTCTAGGAGAGACCAAGGACGCGCATGTCGTGCCTTTCATTATTAATGGCCAAGACTACCATCCAGAGAGATCATTCGATGTCATATCTCCTGTAACGGGCAAAGTATCACATCGTTGCGGTGCTGCCACTGTGGCAGATGCCTCCGCGGCTGTCGATGCGGCTGCTGCAGCTTTCAAGACATGGAGAAAGTCAACACCCGCTCACCGTCGAGACATTTTACTCAAGGCCGCCCATATCATTCAGAAAAAGACTGATGAGCTGGCCGAGATCATGTCAAACGAGACGGGGGCTGCGACGCCCTGGGCTCTCTTCAACATCAACACGGCGGCAGACCTGATTAGAGACGCTGCCAGCCGAACCTCTGCCATTGAAGGCTCGTTTCCTGCCTTGATGGATCCCAATACTAGTGGCATCGTTCTACGAGAGCCCTATGGAGTGGTTCTGTCTGTGGCTCCTTGGTAAGCTACTACGCCTCTGACTCTGCACTCTCAACCGCTCCATCTCACAACTTCAACCAGGAACGCCCCCTACATTCTGCCCACTCGTTCCATTGCAGGTCCCGTTGCTGCTGGAAACACAGTCATTCTCAAGGCCTCCGAGTTTGCGCCACAATGCATGAGGGCCCTTGTATCCGCCTTCCACGAGGCCGGTCTGCCCAAAGGTGTCTTGAACATGATTGCCCACGACCGGGATACTGCAGCTGAGATCACATCGGCTTTGATTGCCAATCCCCACATCAGGAAGATCAACTTCACGGGCAGCACCAACGTTGGGCGAGTCATTGGAAGGCTCGCTGGCGAGCACCTTAAGCCAGTCATTCTCGAGCTTGGCGGCAAAGCGCCGGCCATTGTGTGGGAGGATGCAGATCTAGATACCGCAGCCCAGCAATGCGCATTGGGCGCATTCCTTAACGGCGGCCAGATCTGCATGTCTACGGAGAGGATCATTGTCCACAAGAAGGTCAAGGGTCAGTTCCAGGAGAAGCTGAAAGCAGTCGTCAACGGCATGTTCCCGTCTGATGGACCCGCTCCCATCCTCGTCAACGAAATAGCCGTCAAGCGCAACAAGGCGCTCGTCGAGGACGCCACCTCCAAAGGCGCAACAGTGATTGTTGGAGACGTCGAAGCTCTCCATTCCCGTTCCGCTGAGCTGCGCCCTATCGTTGTCGACAAGGTTACGCCCGACATGGATATCTACAAGACGGAGTCCTTTGGCCCAACAGTGTCCCTCTATGAGATTGAGACGGAGGAGGAAGCCATTGAGCTCGCAAACGACTCCGACTACGGCCTGACATCGGCCGTCTTCACTGAGGATCTTAGAAGGGGCCTCCGTTTTGCGAGGGAGATTGATTGTGGTGCCGTTCACATCAACAACATGACTATTCACGATGAGCCGGCTCTGCCACATGGCGGTGTCAAGTCGAGTGGATTCGGGCGCTTTAATTCATCCGTCGGGCTGGACGAGTGGGTGAGAACAAAGACTGTTACTTTCAAGAACTAATACTGTCAGGAGGAGCGAGACATCATTTTCATAGATGGATACCTTTTTGTACCTTTAAGTTGGTAGCTATTAGTAGCCAAGGTTTGGATGAATTCAATACTTTCCACTCAAACTTGTCTGCGGAGGCATACATGTATTCACATGTTGAACAAAGAGCCTGCCATCAGACCAAAAAAAAGCTTCCATCACTACCAAAACTAATGATTGGCCGCGTTATAGATATCAGAGCGCCCCATGGTCGTCATGTCAACAATAGAGCCGTACGTGTCTCCCCCCAATTCACCCCCCTCCATCGCCACCATCATCTTTCGCATCCCCGTTCCATCGCTCCCACCAGGTCCTCGCTGATAGATTGTCTCCGCCAGCATGCGCAACTGCATCGGGAACTGAGGATCCCCGTAATGCTCGATAATATCGCTCTTCTCAACAGCGCACCGCAGATCCGACCATTCGTCGTCTATTCCAAACTGCTGGCAGGCCGCAGCCTTGTCGTCGTTCCACCAGGGCGGCAGCAGGCCAGGAATCTCTTCAGCGTCCATCAACAAGTCCTGGAAGCCCTCAAGCCCGTCAGGATGGCCGGCGTAGATGCTGCCCTCCAACAATTCGCCGTCCATGGTGTAAGTGTCTTCGACACGGAGGCGGTAGGCATCAATAAGCAGCCTGTATACGTCCTTCTCTGGGCGGTCGTGAAGCCAGGTGCCTCTGTCAAGGCGGGTGAAGGGCTTGGAAATGGGCTGGTCTAGTGCCCGTCGAACTTGATGCGTTAGACGAAGTGTTTGCAGCATGATTCTTGCCGCAAATCTTCTTGTGAACCTTCCAATCAGCTTTTTGGCACTCTCGGGAACAATACGGTGTTGTAGAGCATTTGGCGCATCGCTTCAGCGAGACCTCGGGCGGTCCTTTTCTACAGACGTTGCATGTCGCATCCTTTTTTTTTGTAAGCCGGGGCAACTGGTCTGATCGAAACGTGATGAGCAGAAATGGAAAAGCAAGTTCAGTGATGATGAATTGATGAAAAGAGAGGTACGGGACAACAGAATAAAACTTGGCGGGGCTAACTTGAGCAAAAAGCTGCTTATTGGGAACAAAAAGCTGCTTATTGGGAACAATAACAATCAATTTGTTGAAAGGATGGAAACTGAACAAAGATGGACTGTGGCCTTACGCGCCACAGCGCCACAGATCTCTGTAATCATGTAACCCCGCAGCCCTTGAACAGATCAGTGTTTTGGAATGAATTGGATTCCTTCTAGGAGCATTAGAATAACTAATGCAACGCTCAGGAACGCATAGCATTCCGGTTCCACAGCTATAAGTAGGAGCTTCAAGCTCATCCTCTTCAAAACAGAACAAGGCTTTTAATCCAACTTTCATTGCTCTATTTTTAGGTTACGCTTTGCAACACAATTGAACAATGACAACGACAGCCATGAGCCGCAGTTGAAATATCGACTGGCAGATTTACTGCCTTGTGCCAGTTTTGACAGCCTGTGATGTACCGTTGATTTTGTTTGAGTTGTTGTTGCTTTCGCAAAGCTATCTCGTCATGTTCGATTCCCTTCATTGATTGCTCGGAAATAATCGCTAGCACTCGCAATTGGATCTAGATATCTAATGCTAAGCCTCAAAAAGCCCTATAAATGACATGAAAAACAACAATGCTGGATATGGTGGGCGGGCTAGGGGGTATCAGACTGCTTCAAAGCGCTGGATGAAAAAAAAGGAGAGGAAATGGGTGCATGAGCAGGCCAGCAGAAAATATTCAAGCGGTCGCAGCAAAACATCTATCCCAATGTAAACAAATCACGCGTATAGAGAAAACCAACAACAAATCTTTCAAAAGGGTCACCAAGGAAAAGGAAAACGCGGGTAAGAAACAAGACTGTCTTTGTCTTGCTGCGTCTCCCCATCCACAAGTCAACCAACTGTTTCGTTGACATGTTTCCCTTGCCCCCCCAACCCCAGCCCAGCCCCCTTTCTTTCGTTTCATGTACGAAACTGCAAACGTATAATAGAGAAGAGCATATTCTGCAAAACGTGGAGAATGACAGCAACACTGGTAGGCAAAAGCTCCGGCCAGACAGCCAGATCCAATTTCCCCTCCAGCCCAACGTCGATTTTGAAAAACAGGGCAATCAGCCCTCTCACGACCAGACTCGCCACCAGCTCGCACCCCCACGTCACCATGGAGGCGTAAAACGTCAGGTTAAAGTCGTACTGCAGCGTCTCGTCCTCGGCCTTGTCAAAGGCAAAGTATGGGTACACCTCCTTGTTGGCGCCAAAGTGAAGCACTAGGATGCTCCCCAAGAAGGTGGCCATGGACGTGTTTTCGGCTAGAAAGCGGATGAAGAGGTTTCGAGTTTGCAGCTTTTGATATGTGCCATATGTTAGCCCACTAAGACCGAGAATGGTGAGGATCTTGTGGAATAAGCGAGTCATCATGATGGGCGAAATGATGACCAGTCCCGTGGAAGAGAAAATTTGAAGAATAACGAATTGGGACGGCGAGCGGAGGCGGGCGTATAGAGCTCGGACGTAGGTCTGGTAGGTGAGCATAAAATAGCTGCGAGTATACAGTCAGCCATTCGCTTGAAACGGAAAAAGATAAAAGGGAAAGACAAACAGCTTAAAGACCCAGCTCAAAGGATAGCTTCCCACGCGCTCGCCCTCCCTGATGCCCAGCACCCATCCCGTCAAAGCGTCCAGTAAATGCACCGTCACTACCCAGCCGTACACATATACAATAGTTTCAAAGTTGTTGTGAGGCAATGTGCGGAGGTAAATTTCAGCATACGCTTCTCCCAAAACATACGCCATCAGCCCGATGAAGAGGGCTACACAGAACCACAGAAACCTCACAAAGCTTGCTGGCAGCCACCGTCGCCTCAGTGACACTCTAGATGCACCAGAAGGAGGCAGGACTCTCAGAACATCTTGCTCCCAGAGGTCTTCAGGGAGATCGCGACGGCGGCGGTGTCGGTTAGGAAACGAGTCGGGCTCTCCTGTCCACCATGAGGTAGTGAAGATGCGCTGCGTCTCAGAGAGAGAGTGCCGTAACCCAATATGACGCTCGTTTGTCATTAAGATGAGAAAGGCGATGGCGACCGGCATGGCCATGACGATGAATGTCCATGACACCCAAGCAGTATTGTGAGCGGTGAGAAAGCGAGTAGAAGGTATGAAGTATACGGGAATGGGTACAGCAAGAGATAAGATGGCCAGAAGAGAGATTGTTATTGGGAATCCAAAAGACTGTGGCCACCTAGGTAGTGAGAAAAAAAAACGTCAGTCAAGTCAACATAAAATATGACGTTAGGGGTAGATGTACATACCAGTTCAACCTGTAAAGATTGAATACTTTGGTGATCCAAATCAGAGCACTGAGGTTGTAGAAGCCGTAGTAGACGAAGAGGAAGAACCAAAAGTTGACTTGCACACGGGCCGCTCCGTGACCGGGGACCTTGCTATCGAACGTCACCGTGGTTCGTATCAGTCGCAGCCAGATGTCATTCGATTCATCGCCGTCGTGGCCTTCGTCCGGGAACGAGTACTGCGGGAAAGGCACGGCACACCACGCAACGGCCTAGAATGGGCACATGTGTCAGCCTCGGCCCTTGTGCAAAAGCGCTCACCACCCGTAGGCGTTGATGCTGGTGGGCATCAGGAATAGCAGCGTAACACGTACCAGCGCCGCGGGGAGGAAGACGAGCAGTCCATATCGACTCCACCACCTGTCCACCACGCGCTTCACCGCCGACGGCCTTGGATCAACAAAGAGATCGATGAAGTAGCTCTGCCACAGCCGCTCCCACCTCGAGTCGCCAACCGCTCTCTCATCCTCGCCAGAGCCGTCGCTGAGAAGCCCCGCCTCGATCTCGGCCACAATCAGCGCCCCGTAGCCAACGTGTATGCTGTCGCGCCCGTTAGACAACAGTCCCAGAGGGCTGCTTGGTCGGCGTGGTCCGATGCCAGGACGAGGGGGCACGGCTCGATAGCGACCGAGCAAAGGCGACGAGTCTGTAGGCCGGACGCGCGATTCAGAGCCCTGTGTGAACTGGAAGAAGGCGGGCATGGCTGCCTCCGGCTGAAAGCGCAGGGTAGGATGAAGCGAGACGAGACAAAGACAAGACAAGAGATGCAAGGCGACGACAGCTGCGGCGCTGTTTCGTCCCTGCTGCTCGTCCCGTCCTCTTTTTTTTGTTTTTGTTTGGTTTTCAACCACAGCCCTGCTCTTGCTGGGGGTTTTCTCTCCTCTCTCCCCGGAGAGATGGAATGCGACTCGCTCGCTCGCTCGCACGAGAACAAAGGGCCAGCCGGCATGTGGAAGCGTAAATGACCTACAGCAGGGTCTCGTGCGCAGAGGGGCATCCCTGCATCTGCATGATGCCGCGGGTCTCGTCGGGCGCTTTTGGTTGGATTGCGAGGGGGCCCTGAGATGCTGGAGAATCGGCACTACAGCAGCTCGAGATTCCAGCAGGTTTAGTGCTGTGGTGTGTTGTGGTGCTGTTGCGCAGCTGGCGGCAGAATGACGCGGTTGCCGCCAGGACCCCTGAAGCCACTGCGAGCAGCCACTGCCAGCCACTGCCAGCCACTGGGAGCTACCGAGAGCCAACTGAACAAAGGCGGTGTGTCGGCATATGACATCACTGGCAGCGGGAGCTTTGCAGGTGTGTCGCTACTGTGTTGCTGTGCTGCTGTCGATGGATAGCACTACATACACTAATGGACGCTAATCTAATATGCAGCTGTTGTTCACGTATGCGGGTAGGATTCATGTAGAAATAAATTGCCGTGCATCACGCTACTCTCTCGTTAATTAATCAACATGGTATTCTTATGTTCCCATCTCGTCTATTATATCAAGGAGGTACTAGATATTAATCCTATTGCCTTAGGTGCTTGGTTCCTCAGCCTACCTACCTAGCAAAACAAGCAATGATAACGCTGTAAATGTAAATGTCCGAATTCTAAAAGGCGCCACGCCCAGTTACCAAAACTTTCCAACTGAAAAATACACAAGTCCCATCAACCCAACACATCATGTTATGTTATACAATGCAGAAGACTCCCAAAAACAAATTCACACCCTTTTAGATAAATAATCACAGACCGAGTCTTGCCTCTACCCAATAAAGATGCAGCATGGTATAGAAGCTCTATGTTTTCATAGTCATGTTCTCAGCGTCTCGCCTCAGCGCCTCAGCCCCGACGGGGGCTTATTCCATAGAAATGACAGATCCATCCTCAGAGCCTCCAATCACATCGTCTGAAAATGCCACAGTCTTTGTCGATGTTGACTTGCGGGACGGCTCGAGCACATCTCCATTCCACGGCTTGCATTCTTTGACGTGCTCTCCACACCGTAAACAAGTCCAGCCCTCGCCTTCTTCACGGTCCAGGCGTGTTGCAATACACACAAAACAGTAGATGCAACCGCATGGAATGGCTTCGTAGGGGTTGGTAACATCGGTTTGCGCTGATCCAATGACGCCGCTGGATGCTGCCGCTGCCATGATTTCCGACTCGGATGATGCGGCGGCGTTCTGGTCCTGGTAGCAGATGGCGCAGGTCCTCTCGGGCAAGAAGCCGAGCTCGCCGTTCGAAGAATCACCCTTTTGGGTTGTGTTCATTATGTCTTTTGTTTTTCGCCAGGTGCGGCTCAACCATCGTCGCCAGCGGTTGACGCCAATCAGGGGCAGTACGAACAGAAGGAACTCGGTAAAGGCATGCCACACCAGCTGTCGGTTGAGGTATTCAAAGGAAACCTCGCGGCTGACGTGGCTTGTAGGAGGCGCCAGCCGCATGCGTAGAACACGGTCGAGAAGCGTGCGGTATTGTCCGCGGAATAGAAACACCAGGAAGGAGACGCACGCCGCAGCCGAGTGCGCCGTTGTCAGTGCGGTTGTTAATCGAGATAGCCTCTGGACTCGCGGGCTAGGGTCGCTGTATCCATCGTCCTGATCCACGAGCCAGTCCTCCCATCTGGTCCAGGCATATTTTCCAAAGACCGTTACCAGGCCGTACAGCGACTTTTGTAGCCTCGTCGGGGGTGACAGCACGGGGCCCCCTTTTCTGGCGTCGGTGTATTTGAGGTTCTGCAGAGCCGCTCCGTACGTTGCATCGTTATCCCAGACTGTCAGTTTGAACAGGATGGCCCTGAGCGCCAGCTGGATCTCGGAGGACCAGTCGTCTTTGAGATGGCCGCCGGCATAGTATCTGAGGGCGTCGCCAACCTGCCCCTTGAGCAGGTCCAGCAGCTCTTCATCCAGGAGCTCGGCATCGACCTGCGCAACGCGGAACGCAGGCCTGGTGCTCTCTACAGAAGCGGCTGCATCCCAGACACCGGCGAGGCGATTGAGGGGGTACGGCAGACGCTGCAGCTGGGTGTTGACGCGAGACGATTCGCGCTGAGCCGCGATTCGGGCCCGTTGTTCGGCTTCGCGGGCCTGTCGTCGCTCAGCGACGCGCTGTTGGGCTTGGAGGAAGCTCGAGTCGTTCATGGAGGCGGCATTGAGTGGTTGAATCTGGGGATGTGGAATCGGTCGTGTGTTCAAGACTGCATGCTGAGCGCGATGCAGCCGAGAGATTGATGTCGAGATGCGATTATGAAAGCTGGCTGACCTGAGCCGAGGTCTAGCTGGGGTGTCTTCGGCTCGTGGATCTGCGGTGATAGGCCGGGCCCACCAGCCGTGATTTTAGCACTGGAAGCGCAATGCCTAGGTTAGAAGTTGAACCGGCAATCGAGGCAAGCACATGGATTGAAATTGTGCACTGTAGTATTCCGAGCTGTTTTTTTTTTTTTTTTTTTTTTTTTGCCGTTTGACGATATATGCACCAGATGGTCACGAGCTAAGCAATCAAACGCTCAAATGCCCGTCATGTGATGCGGTGCCTCGTTGGGTAGTAGGTAGGATGGCTTCGATATGAATTAGTGTGGACAGCAGATTCCACCCACACGCTTTTGCAGATGAAGGCCCCTCCTCGCGGGGTTTTTTGAAGAGGAAATGCTTTAGAAATCATGTCGAAACTTGGTTGTGCATGTTTGCTATTTCATATTATTTTATGCCAGTTCACCCATCACTTGAAAAAGAGACATCTCACGGTCATTCAAAGGGCTGGCCAAGGACACAAACAAAACATTTTGAATCAACCACCTCACTTTAATAGTCAGCCACAAGGATGCACGAGATCTGGTGCGTTACCACATGGCCAGCCAGACACATGGATGGTTATAAGTGCTTACTTACAAATGACCAGACTCGACAAAAGGCAGCCAGAATCCGTCATTCCTAGCCGCCTCGGATCCAAGTGAAGCCAGCCTACATCTTTGCATAGGAAACAATAGCCCTTCTTAGAGGAATAACTGCACAAAGTATCATCGTTTATACATTCCACCACGTTTCTACTGGATGCGGCCACCAAGAGAACTGCCGCATTAGATTTCGATATACAGAGCAAGAAGCATCGCATCGTCCCAAGGAGAGAGACAAAGTTGTGCTTGGATCTATCCACCCCAACTTGCAGCTTATCCGCCCGGTTAAGCATGAAGCCCACGGGGAGCAACAGCCGCCTCATATACTATTACTGGGAACAAGACAAAATACCGATTTGCCCGGTATTCAACGCTTTACAGCCTCCCTCCCTCTCTCTACAAGCGACATGAAAGACTCTAGAAACCCTCGAGCAACAAACGAATCGGATTGGTCGACATCGCCAAAACAATAACAGGCCCCTCCACACTCTCTCCAGCATCTCCATGCCGCACTAAAGCAGCTCCAGACCCGCCCTCGATGCAGCCTAGCTGGACCCGGAGCTTCATCACTGCGAATCCACCATCTCCATCTCCTTGATTCATCCACGGCCGCATCTGCCTGGCCACTGCTCCAGCTCGTGCTCGTGCTTGCGCTTCTTCCCGCCGCCGCTCTTCTTCCTATTCGCCCTTCGTTTGTGTGACTCATTGCCCGTCGCGACGCGATCCCGCCAAGTCACGTCCGTCGAGAGCGAAAGCACTTTATATCAACAGCTGCTACCTCGTGCGCGATTCACGCTTCGGGGCTTGTCTGAGAGCCCCGCGGCCGGCATTGGATTGCGGCATCTGGCCTCCGACATATTTCAACGACATCTCGAAGGATTGGGTCGGAGACGGGAGACTGATTGGACCCATCAACAAACAAACTTCAACGCCGCCGCCTCGTTATCCACCAACACAACAAGCCGCTACAATACATGACCGTTCCTTATCGCCCAACGATCACGCCGCTATCATAGACCTTCCTCCTCCTTTTTCACACCCGACTTCCGGCAGAATATGGCACCGCGCCGACGAGAAATCCCCGCCGAGGGATCATGGCGCCTCGTCGACGGTGAAAACGACAGCTTCGACACAAGCATCATTGATCCTCTGCCGGGAGATGACTTCAGTCCGCCGTCAAGCGCCATGCCCTCTTCCGGGTTCCCCACCCAGGAATCCTTCTCCCAGAGTCAGAACAACATGAGCTTCGCCTCTCAGGACAGCATTCGTGACTTTGCCAATTTCCAAAATGACGAAGACGTCATCTTGCGACAACCGTTCCGCCCCACGCTTCCCTCGAGTGCTGCTACATCGATGCAGCGTGCTTCATATCAGCAGTCCGAGGTGCAACTTCGAATGCCTCTCGTCAAAGCCAATAATCTAGTTGCGAGCGAAGCCTCACGGACTGCCAGAACTACCGATGACGATAGCGAAGAGGGCAGCGTGTGGGATTCCGAGAGGGAGCAGGACCCTGTCAATTGGCACGAAGACTCGGAAAGAGAGTATGCCAGGCTCTTGAAGCAGCAAAACGAGGCTTCGCTGAGCTGGCACCACGCCAAGCCAGGCTCATCAGCGTCCAGTTCTTCCGAGAGGCTGCTCCAAGTCTTCCGCTACACCATAATACCCGTCGCAATCGTCCTCGTTGCATACCTCTTTCATATCAATGGCATCTCTGTTCAGGATGCCCGCGACAAGGTCCAATCTTTCTCGTTTACATCTCTGCAAGATATCCCTGGTGTTTCCAACTTTCAAATTCCATTCTTCGAGGCCGAGACATCTCAGCGTGCTGCTTCTTCTTCTATCGATTTCACAAGTCTCATGGAGGTTCAATCGGGATTTGAAAGTGTACTGGATAAGAGCGCATATGGCCTATCCATGCCTCTTGAGCTCAAGAGTTCAGAAATGGCTACCCGAAACCTAAGATCTCTCCTCAAAGAGGCCGAAATCGCGACTAGAGAAGACTTCATTTTAGAGCTCAACGGCTATATCGAAAAGGTTGGCAGAGCAGGTTCGGATTTGCAGACATTTTACATCCACATTGGGTCAACCGTTGATTCCATCATCAACATCAACCGCTGGACCCTACGCCACATCAATTCTCTATCTATAGAACCCGAGGCACCCTCATTGCCTCCCGTCATAGCTTGGGCCCTCCGGCCGCTGGGTCTCTTCAGAACTTCCGAACAAGCCGGAAACGATCGGGCTCTGTTGGATAAATACTCTGAACATGTCACTCTCGTTCAAGAGCGGTTGGGGAAACTCCTCGTTGAAGGGAAAGCCCTCTTGTTGCTCCTCCACCAGAGCCAGACACAGCTGGGCGTCATCAACGAACAAGCCGAACAACTCCCTGGAGCAAGAACCGCCAAGCCCGACTCGCTGCTCTCATCCATCTGGGCCTATATCGGAAGCTTCGTGGAAGAGCCTCGCAATTTCGATGAGCAAATCGTGCTGCTGAAGAAGGTGGATGCGCAGTACTCCAACGTCATCTCTCATCTCCTCTCCCTGGTTGAGGAGCTCAAGGACATTCAGCTGTATCTGGGCGACTTGCTCAATCGCAATGAGGATTCTTCTGATGTTTGGGGAGAAGGGGCCGGAGCACCAGTTCAAACGACGCTGAGTGAGCAGTATGAAGTCATCAGGAATGCAGTGGAGAGACTTGAGCACGCGAGAAGGAGGACCGCCGAGGGTGAGGCAGAAAGCGAGGCCCCAAGGGAAGCAGAGCACGAAACACAGAGCGAGGTACAGCACGAAACGCCCGGCGAAACAGAAGCCGAGACAAGCGGTGATCATATTTGATGCTAAAAGCATAGACGAAGCGAAGCGGAAGCGGGATGTTTTTTTTTATTGGTTTATAACATGGAAATGGAACATAAGGAGACTATCTATGTTGCTTTTCTTCTCATCTCTTTATTTCCTATCTTTTTTTTCCCTATGTTTCTTTTGTTTAGGACTATGTATTCATCTCGCGATTCTGCAAGCATGGCTGTTTAAGCTCCTCAAGGCTACGAGATGTCGGGATTTTTTGTACACTACATGGGCGTCACTGGGTATAGACTAAGTCATGGAACGGATTGCATTCAAACCAAATAGCGAATTTTAAGAGTTAACCAAAAACGAATGAGTACTGGTCTCTTCATTGCATTTGTATGAACTCTTGCCTTTGTTCTTGAAATCTTGTGACTTTTCAAGCTATCATGTCTCAACTCAGCCATCATGATCGCGACCCCCTATTATAATCATCGTCGTCGTCCTCATCTTCTCCCATCCGCCTCTCTCGCCCTCTTTTCCTAATCACCAATGAGTTCGCTGCCACGCTCTCCCTCCATCCCCTAGCAGGATTAATCGGCTTCAAGAAGCCATCCACATGCACCGCGCCGAACATCTCGTCCTCACTATCCCACTCCTCGTCGTCGTCCCCCCGTCCAGGATGCACAAGCTGCATATGCCGCCGCAGATTCTGCCTCCTCGCGAAGCCCGTCGCCGAGCGCTCGCACGTCGGGACCGGGCAAAGGTGGAAGCCTGCCGAGGAGCGGGACCTCGATCGAGATTTTGACTGCGAGCGATTCCAAGGCGTGCCGTTCCTGGGCGTGCCAAAGGCGGAGGACGCCGAGTGAGGCGAGGAGCGGCCGCGGAAAGGGGACGAACTACGGCCGCGGCTCGAGAGGCGGGCCAGCGACGCCTGGCGAGAGAGCGTGTTGTTGCGGGACGAAGCAGCAGTGACGGCACCCGCTTGGCTGTCTGAATCGGACTCTTCGTCCGAGCCGAGCTTGATCTTCTCCGGCCGGTACTCCATTGTGTGAAAAGCCGGTGCTCTGGAAGCAGGCGCCTCATCTAGACGCCTCATCACCATGCCTTGACCAAATAGATTAGCGCATCGCTTTGCCGTCCGGGCAATGACCTGAGGCGAGAAGCCTGCCAGGGCGGCGGCGCCGACCACGTCGCTCCAGTCGCGGAGGCCGAGCCTTCGAAGCCGTCTCTCCTGGGCGCTGTCTTGCGGCCCGATGCCCAGCTCTTCCTCCTCTCTAAGGAGGGCCTCTTCGCGCGCCAGCCTCTCGTCACCCTGGCGAAGCCATTCCTCGAATGCTGCGTCTCTGTCGTGCGCTAATGTCGGGAGTCTTCTGTGGGATTGGCGTGCAATGCGAAGGAGCATTTCTTCATGCGTCTCGCCTTCGTGAGGGATGTGGACCTTTCGTGGACGGCCTCTTTTGCTGGCCTTCGGTGCGACGGCGCCATCTGGACGAGGCGAAGTTTCCGTCCCTGTGAGCTGAGTGCTGCGAGGGCGACCACGTCCACGCTTGGGGCCGGAATGGGCATCAGATTCCGAGTCGGAGGTTGCTGAAGAATCGGATGCGTAATTTGTGGTGGCGATGCGGGCATTGTGGAGGATCTGCAAGGTCGAGTCCAGCTGTGAAAGTATGTGTCGGACAGATGGCCGAATGATTTCGTAAGATAAATCGTCGTTGGAAGACATAACAGGCTCCTTTGCCCTCAGTATCTCTCCCTTTCTTCTTTTTGGTAGTGCTGCCTCATCCTTGCCTCCTTCATCGTCAATCATCATTTTCTCATCCTCGGAAGATGGATCCGATACGCCGGGTGTGTCTTGGCCTTGTCTCTGAGATTCGCCTTGATTCAAAGACGTCACATCTGCTTCAATAGATGCAAGCACAGTTTTCCTCTGCTCTCTAGCTTTGCTCCTGTGAAAACGCTCTCCAGCCAGCCTTAATATCGTCGCTCCCAGCTCCTCATGCAACTCAGAGCTAGGCATCCGTCGCTCCGCCTTGCGAAATGTAAACTTTCCATACCCATCGTCATCCTCTCCCCGGATGTGCTTCTGCTGCGGGACCCGACTTTCGTTCAACGGCCACGCTGTCCAAACTCGAGGAGGCGCCCATATGCCCTGCTCTCCGTTTTCCTGTCGCCACATGTCAGCCCAGCGCTCTAGCCATCACTCACAAGTCAAGAGACAGGCGCGTCAATCAATGAGATTGGTACAAGAGAAGCGTACCAAGGTAACCGTAACATCCTGCGCAGTTCGAGAATCTTTGCCTCGCCTCTTGAGCGCATGTGCGTTAAACAAGTGAATCGCCAGATCTTGACCTTCGACAGCCTCCATCGATTGCCAGAGCCGCCGTTCCTCCGCAGTCAAGCGCTGCCATGTTCTCCGAGTTCCTGTCCATCGGTTTGGTCGGTTCTCGTGTAGATCTTGGGATGTGACGGATGCGATCTCGTCGCTGTCGAGATCCCACTCGGGAGAGCTTCGATCCATGCCTTGGCCGGCAGTCACCTCACCATCGACAGGCGGCTGCTTCTTGACATGAATGAGTTTACTGAGGCTTAATGACGATTAAATCTTTAAAGATGATCATAGAACGAGGTTTTAATCGACTTCGTGTAAAATGGAATGAATGTTTTAATGCCAATGTTGATGAAAAATGAGGTGAAGACCATGGTGAAAATTACAAGTTCACGTGCTAGGAAAAATTTCGAGTCCATGGTCCTCATTAACACAGCGCCCTCACAACATTTCACATCAATCTCGTAAGCATCAATACGCCGTTTCTACATCTCAAAACATGTTCGCATTAAAGATAAATCCATTTTATTTTCATCGCATATGCGCCGTTGAATCCTATTTACGAGTGTATTAAACCGTAGGTCCCGAAAATTACGCCTTGCCGTTGGCCTTTTCCTTTTCCAGCTTTCTCCTCTTGGACCGCAGCTTGGCATCCTCTGCGCTCTTCTTGTTGTTTGTGTACTGCATCTGCTCAAACAGCTTTCTCTTTTTCTTGCTCAGCATTCCCTTGGCTCGATCCAAGTCTTCGGCCTCTTCACGGGCCTTCTTTGCAAGGGCCTTTCGTGCGTCCTCCTTGGCCTTGGTCTTCGGGTTGGCAGCCTTTGATTTGACTGTCTTGCCAGACATCTCGGCTTCAAGCTCAATCTGTCGCTGCAGAGCCTCGTCTGCGTCCTCTTCCTCCTCGGCTTCATCCTCTTCCTCCTCGGCTTCATCTTCGTCGGCCTCGGCCTCGTCCTCATCTTCATCTTCGTCATCCTCTGCAACATCCATGCCCTCTACAGTCTCATCCGCATCAACATCTTCATCATCGTCACCAGCCTCGAGGGCTTCGGCCTCAGGCTCCTGCTCCTCAAGAGACATCGTGGGGTCATAGGCTCCCTGTACCTTTCTGACAAAGGGACTCAGATGCGGGGGCAGCGATGCGCCTGGCGCATACACATGGGGCTCTTTGAGCTCACCATCGTTGACAGAATCCCAGACCCACTGAGGCTGGATGTATATCCGGCCCGGTACACGTCTGTTGGCTGCCAGCTTTTGCGCCGTCTGGTTATCCTCGCCATCGCCTTCCTCATTCATTGAGGCTTGTATCGGGGGTCGGTCGACGATCTGGTGAGTGATTGATGGGTCAAGCTCATCAGTTGTGAAAGCGCCACCACCGAGGACGGCGTCCCAGCCGACACGCTTGCAGCCGAAGGACTTGAGGATGAACTCGAGGGGCTGGCGGGGAGTCTCACGGGACAGGTAAATTGTGAAGTTTGAAAAGAGGGTGTTGGGGCTAGTGCCAGTGTATGATGGCTGGGGGAGGATGTCGCCGCCAGGGGCAGCGGGCTCGAACTTGTCAATGGCACCAGCAGCGTCTTCATCTGCCTCCTGGGTGTCTGCCATTGAGGTATCGTCAGTAGCGGCTCCATTCGCTCCTCCGTTTGCCATGTTCTTGAGAACTTTGTTAACAGCAGCTTGGACCTTGGGGTCTGGCTTGTGAGCGACATCCTCCAGCTTGCTCTGCTCTTCGCCGCCAACCAGGGTCTTGCCCTCCAGGGTAAAGGCGCCCAGCTCGGCAGCATCCTCATCCTTGACAGCATCAAACTTGGGCGGGTACTTGAGGCCAATTGAGGTATAAAGCCTAAAGTTGACAAAGCCGAGAAGTGTCATGTAGAACTCGACAAAGGTTCCCATGATGCGGAAGTCGACATCACCGACGATTCTCTGGTTGAACTTGTACGGAACCAGCCACAGGACCTCCTCGCCCTGGATGTTTGCCTGGTAGTAGATACCCTTGATAGACAAGAAGGACTTTGTGAGGCTCTTGGACACAATGAGATAGTGCTGGAACTCGAGGCACAATCGCTCGCAGCGGGCAATCATCTTGGCGGGCACCATGGAGGTCGAGGGCAGGTTCGCAAAGAGGAAGAGCATGGAGAGACAGTCATCCAGATCCCTCAATGCGTCGACAAACGTCGGGTAGCGCTCGCGGACAACATGATCCAGAGTGTAGGTCGGCTTTCCGGTCTTGTCTGGTCGGCTTGCATTGCCCTCGAGCCGAGCGGCATCGCTGACATCTCCTCGGCCCAATGCTCTTGAAATCTTCTTCTCCAGAACCTTGTGGTCGCGGAACTTTTGCACCAGCGGCTCATGAAGAAGATACTGAATGTCCTTGGTGTAGTAAAAGGTGGTCGAGGCAGTGGACGACTTGGAAACCTTCTTCTTGCTGCGAGGCTCTCGGGGATAGATGCCTTTCCAAATGCAAAGTTTTCGGAAATCGGGGAGGCTGAGCTGCAGTTTCCGGATCGCCTGGTTTCGCGTCACGAAGTTCTTGGCCGCACCGGCCTGTCCCTTCTTCTTTATCCGTGCCATTGTGTCGACTGTTGGCGATTTCTATGGCAAGGTTTTGATGCTCTGTGGGAAAAAATCCGCGGGGCAATCAATCGCCAATTGTTTGAACTTTTTTTCTTGCTACCAGGCCGGAATTTTTTAATGCCATGCGCCACCGCCTGGGCCGTTGTCTATAACGGGACTAGCTACCCAAGTCGCGCTTCACCGCCCAGCCCACATTCAGCCACTCACCAGCCACTGTCAAGCCACTGTCCAGACTGCCCAAGAACAGACACAACAGCTATGGCCAGGCGGCTGTTATAATTACCTAGCCAGCAAGGCTGAACTGCGGCCAAGTGGCCTCGATCCTGGTCCCTTCCAATCCGCCGAGCTCCAGTAGAAACACTCCCAAAGATCCTCCCCCAACATGGCCTAGGAGATGCCATGTCGACCACCATGACTTTGCAGAGCAAGGTCGGCGTCTTCGCTGGCGCTGCCTTGCTGAGACTCGTCCTGTCCACCGCCTTCCCCAGCCTGCCGGATCTGCTGACGGGCCGCGTCGAGATCTCAACCCCCGTGACGAGCTTCAAACGATGTAAGGCGCATCGCAACTCCCAGAGCCCAGAGGCGGCATTGAGTCCGATGCACTGACGGTTTACATAGTGCAGGAGGGATTGTTCCTATATAACCACAATGTCTGGCCTTACGATGGCGGTGTCTTCCACCAGGCGCCGCTGCTCCTCCCTCTGTTCTCGCTACTCCCAGATATCGAGACTTGGCCCATCTTCACGTCGTTGCTATATATCCTCGTCGATCTTCTCAGCGCATATGCGCTCCTCGTGATTGCAGATTCAGGAGAGGCCGGCCAGTCGAAACACTTTACATCTCCTCGGCGAGCCAAGAGATCGTCAGGGCTTCTGGTAGCTGCGGCGTAAGGCTTCCCTTGCACAAGAGTTGATGGAGCATGGAATCAGTTGCTAACTTATAGGTCATATAGTTTCTTATTCAACCCATACACCATAGCCACCTGCATTGGCCGATCAACCAGCGTATTCACAAACTGCGCAATCCTCTTCGCCATTGCAAAAGCTCTGTCCGGTTCTCCCTTCAACGCCATGGTCGCCATCTCATTCGCCTCCTACCTTTCCATGTACCCGCTCCTCCTCCTCCCACCTCTGGTTCTCCTCGCATACGACCGCCAATCCGAGAAGCGACGGGTTGATTCCGCCATTCAGTTCTCGATCAGGGTTATTCTCATTGCAGCCGTCTGCATCTCCCTCCTGCTGGCCATGTCATTTGCGCTCACGGGCAACTCGTGGGACTTTTTAGCTCGAACATATGGCATCCAGCTCACCTTGTCCGACCTGACCCCCACCGTCGGGCTATGGTGGTACTTTTTCATCGAAATATTCGATTCTTTCCGGGCCTTCTTCCTTGCCGTCTTCTGGCTACACCTTGTAATATACGTTGGCGGCCTCTCCATCCGGCTGCGCACTCAGCCCCTGGCCGTCTTGACGATCCTTCTAGGCATCTTTGCTGTTTTCAAGCCCTACCCGTCCATCTCGGACACGAGCTTGTTCCTCGCCATGCTGGCGCTGTTCCGACACTTGTACCCAATTATGCGATACACGTACGTCGCCTCTGCCACCATGCTCTACGCAACCTTTCTCGGCCCTGCGTTTTACCATTTGTGGATATATGCTGGCAGCGGCAATGCCAACTTCTTTTACGCCATAACCTTGGTGTGGAGTTTGGGCCAGAGTCTGTTTGTGTCCGATTTGACATTTGCAGTCCTAAGAGATGAGTGGGAAGTCGAGCGACCAGAGATGGTGGGCAAGGAGATTCGGCAAATATAGAGTGGACGCGCTTTGTCTCACGGGAGTTGAATAATAGATGTGGGCTGAATATGATATCCTTGGTGGATTAAAATGTATAAATATCATGGCGGTAGAACGGCTTATTATCAGGAAGGATGGCATTTACCATGGCGTAAAGTTCTGTATTCCGAAATTATTGGTCTTTTTTTTTCTTTCTCAATCTACCTCGGAATCAACTTCTACTAGTTTTCCATTAGGCCCTCCTTGATCTCGAGCTCCCAAATCGAGGCCGCTCGGCACAGGCTGAAATGGCCCCATGGCGCTGCTCAGCATCGACCCAAGCTGCCCAAACTCGCTCAATCTTGTCCGCGACCGTCTAGGCTTCCACGACTGAGTCGATGCTCCAAACGGCTGCATCGCCCTGTAGGCCTGGAACCCATAGCCCGTGGCCAAGCCCGTAAGGACTACGCCCATGATCAGCATGAGAGCTCGCTGGTCCAAGCCTGTCTTTTGGTGTTCGGCCCTGTGGCGCATTTCACCCGCATACTGCTCCCCCAGGTTGGGAATATGGCGCAAGACGGAGTCGAGAATGCGGCCGCCAAAGCGAGTGACGGAGGTTGGTTCGGGGGTTACCCATGGAAGATGGCCGCGAGTGGTGATGGTGGCAAGCATGGAGTCGACGAATTTGTGTAATCTGGGAGTTTTCGGCTCTAGCCAGTCTTTGAGGAAAGATCGCGGGACGGCTGGTTTCTGCATGAGGGCTAGGTATCCGAAAGCCAAACAATCCAGCGGAGAGGTCGCAGCATCTGTGAAGAATCGAGGACGCTCTTCATCTCCCCCTTTCATCAAATCATCCAGCACCGTGAGGCAATCTTCAGTAAGGCCGAATAGTCTTATCGCTGTAGCTTGCTCCGGTGTCATCTCCTCGTGCACAGTCTTCTTGGTCATCAAGGGAATATGCCGCCGGAAGGTCTCAGGGAGGGCATCTCTGCCCGCAGAGAGATGAAGTCCACCATTGGGATCGAAATCAGTGTCCAAGTCGGCCAGGCCAAGATGCTCTGCGCGCTTGATAGCATCCGCTCTGATCAACGTCGGGACGGTCCACGTTAGTGGAAAGGTTAGCAATGAGCTGTACGCGGGCCTGGTGGTAGCAGCCCAATTTGCCGCAGACACGTATAATGACAGATCAACCAGAGGTCCCGCGTGAGCTCTCAGATAGGCACTATAAGCGACGCTGTCTGCCCGCTGGATGGAGCTGAGCGTCTCGTCCAGGCCGTCACAAATGGCTGCTGAGGTGAGATATTCTATAATAGGCTGGAATCCGCTTACCCATCTGTCTTCATGCTGCAATGCTGGTAGGAGATCTGAAAGCGAGGGTTAGAGTCTGTCTATTCATCTCACCACCTGATGCACAGTTGACAAACTCACTCGATGGGCTGACGGCGGGATCGTTGCTGGGGATGAGGCGCCAGGATGACGAGGACAGTACGTTGTGAAAGTATGCTATAATGGCCAGACATTCTGCATCAATGGACGGTAGGCCAAAGGCCGGGCCCCAAACATGAAGATGCAGCATCTCAACCATGCATAAAGTGCTTCTGTGGCCACTCCAACGTCTCTGCAGGACAACAAGATGTCACCTCAGCTTGTAGAATTACGAGATTTTGCGAAATCTGTCGTCAAAGTCTCTATGAATTGAGACTGGATAAAGCGTAAGATTGGCTATGGCGAGCTGGTTGAGAGTGTCGTCGAATATGAAAATGCCCAAGACTGAGAGAAGCGGCATCAAGTCCCGAGAAAGGTTCAACTGACCCCACTATTTTGTGAGCCCCACTAATGTTGAGATGTGCCACCAGGAAGTACCTGTACCTACATGGCAATACTTGAATACTTGGCGCAAGCAAGTTGCACTTTGTTAGGTATTAAACAATCAAGGTACATCGAGGTTAAAGATGATGTGACACTAAACATTCAAGTGTTAATATTAAGTGGTTGGTTAAAAGTTTACATACATTCATCGTGGTAAAGACAGAGGTTCATACAATAGGTTAGTCTTGGTCACAACTTGAGGTTTGAAGTTATCAATCTGTAAGTAGAAATAAAGAGAAATCATATTACAAAGTTATCATTAAGAATTCCCTTGTCTTTATTATAGTGGCACTTTGTCAACGGAACAAGGCTGCGACCTCACCTAATGACCATTCGGTGTCGGGTCATGCATGATTTACACCAAGTACATATATTTACCGATATTTGGCATATTTACCGATATTTGGCATAACCAAGATGGCATGCGCACAGCCGACCTTGATCTGATTACAAGCACATCTTTTGTTGGGTTTAGATTATCTGAGTGTTCCATGCTGGTATATCGTTCTCAAGGTCAAAAAACATTGCTCCGGCAGGTATATAGCTTCCCTGTAGCCAACAAGCCATACACATTCTAGTCTCACTAGAACTAAATGCCCTCTCGAGAAAAGATAGTTGTCTACTAATTGACGGCTAAGTTGTAAGAGGCAACCCTCTTTATAAGCTTGTCGTAGTACAAGTTTACAGCCATTTCGGCCTCAATCTCTACAGATTTGTAGCGGAGGCGGTTGAATTCCGATTGGTGTGCACATAAAATGGAAGAACCTGATAGACTTGCTGATTTTTTGACACCCAGATATCTTATTCATCAGCTATTAGTAATTACTATCGTATTCAATGTCCATACTAAATGGCAACAGCATCCCATGTAAAGCATCACTTACACTCAAGTTTTACACGGTAGAGCATCCAAGTTCCGTTTCTTACAGAATATAACGGTTCATCCTTTCTTCCATCATCCACCAAGTAGTACCCAGGACAGATACGTCAGCACTTTACAGCTGTGAGTCAATTCAGCGGGGCAGCAAACCATTCATCGGCAGAGTCGAACAAGGCAGCAGTCCCCGCTGCTCGTGAGGTCATGGACTCGATCATATCAGCTGAGGTGAGTACATGTAGGTCACCCAATCTCGTCAAAAAAGCCACGCCTCACTCCATCCTAGAGACTGCACGTGTATCCTACTCCAGAAGCAGCAAACTGCCGGCGCAAATGAGCACCATGTCTGTGTCTATCCATCCAGCCACATATCCCTACTCGTACTCGTACATACATACTAGAGGCTTGGCCTCGGCTATGGTAAAGTGCGGCTGGAAGACAGACGGACAAGAATAGCTAGAAGCGTGGCCGTCCTCATTTCGCATGTGAAGTGGCTTGACAGGGCGGGAGGAAATCCGGGGGCACCCCCTTGGCGGAGATGGAGGCCGCAAACTCGTCGAGATATATTACCTATCACAAAGACATGATGCCAAGACATCTTAATCTTACTAGCAGTACGGAGTAGCGAGAGAAAAGCAGATGGACACTACGACCATGTTAGGCTGTGGGCAGATTTTAAGCCTTGGACGAGAGGGCCTGCTAGTACGAGCATTCCTGATATAGAAGCGGTGTCTGTGCCATGCTTGCTTGCCTGTGTTCGCACAGCTAGGGGTGTTGTCGAAAAAAAAGGACACAAGGAGTGCTCGTACAAGCATTGTGCAAGTATGTACATGTATGTCTTGTGTGTTCGCATGAGAGCCAATGCACATGTAGGTGATACCGCATGATGCCGTCTCAAGACGATCCATCGCCAAGGAACCAGTAACACGGCCGTACTTTTACGAATACATCCTGAAAAGGTCATGTGGCACAAGCACAAGCACAAGCACAGCACGGGTCTGGTAACTCGAACTCGTACGAGCCCATCACGATGGCCTTGTTCCCTCACACCCTTGCCAGCTGAAACGCAAGCAAGGGAGCGTGTCAATCATTCGTTCATCGGTTGACTCACTGGCGGACATGGATCGAGCATCCTACTGAGCCCCGATGGCATCAGCCAACGATGATCCCCTGGCCATTCGCGATATTAGACTTGCCAGGGATCCGATGATACGTGGCAGGCAGGCGTCCAGCCGCACTTCGTTGAACAGGTAAAAACAAGAAAACATTCGAGGATCGACGGCACGTGACGTCTCCTGCGTCTCAAGACAAGGTACAGACACCAATGCATTTGCATTCTGAATCTCCGTCTGTGCAAGTGTAATACACGTACATGCGCGTCGCTTGGTCGAGCATCCTGAAACGCTGCTGGCCAAGCATCATCGCATCGGCGGCGTCTCCGACCAAGCTATTGGCAGCCCAGCCCATGGCGGATTTCCGGCCAGCCAGCCAAAAAAGATGCGGCGCCTCTCAAAGGGGGCTCCAGACTCTGAAACGTTCAATTCGCCACGGCCCTGGCACTAGACGGACGGGTTCCTGCTGTAGTTGACGATGGTGTCGCCAGAAGCGGTTATCGCCACTGCAGAGTCGTACGGGATACAGGGGGGGGTTGATGTTGGCTGTATGTACGGAGTACGGAGTTAGCAGTCCAGATCCACTGCCAAAAGCGTGCTCGTGCAGTGCATAGGGGATATTACAGTACGAGCACAGGTATGATTTGAATGGATCAATTGATTGTTTACGATGCATCGGCGCAGGGCTTCGATTTGATCTTCCTTTCTCCTCGAGGACCCCTGAAGATCGGACCCTTGGACCCTCCGGAGCCCGTCACGTAATTGCGGTCTGGTCTGTTTACAATTGAATGCTCAAGGTTGTCTTGTGTCAGAGCATGGCGCTGCGTTTTGATTTGTCGCCGCATGGTATTACATTGTACGATCGAGAAAGAAAAAAAAAAGAAATAACAACCCCCTAAGTCGTGCATATGTAATTTTACAATATCAATACATACGACTTCAATTGAGCTTTGCCTTTGCCACCGACGCTACTACATTCGGGTCGTCATGGATGCTTGCATCAATCTATACACGTGCTAAGAAAGAATTGAACAGTGAACCCGCAGTTCCCATCATTATCCACCCAAATAGATATCACGTCTCCGCAAGATGCCAGCTGATACATAAGCATCCCAGGTTGAACACAGCCAATATGGCCCCCAAATCCAATCAACCTCGAGTCATGGACAACCACACTAGACACCGAAATAATATATACATCCAGCATCGCCGCCGTATTCAAAAACCGGCTACCAATCGGCCCACGACAAAAGACAGCAACAGCACCGCCCCCTCGGCCCAGCGGCAAGACCCCCATCAGCGGTCAGTCTACCTGAGCTAGAACAAGAACACAAGTACAAAAAGAATACGGAAGAAAAACAATTGGATAGAAGGGGGTGTGGGAGAACCAACCACTACTTCTCCCACTAGAAGCCCGAAAAGAAGATTTTTTTTTTCTTTCGATTCAATGGATAGCTTCATTTTAGACAACCCGTGCTAGTAGTTTTGCTCCACGATGCCCGCCCACCCCAACGTTCACCGCATCGTATCGCACGCTCATCAAATCTGTCCAAAAAAAAAACCCCCAAAACATGGGTATCCCGACACGGTTCAGCCCGCAATGGCGTCCCCCAAGCAAGCTGAGGCTCAAAAATCCGGCAGTCAATCATTTCTCCCTTCGGTGTAATTGTAATTACTGCATCTTAAGTTCATGTTTTGACAAGACAATGGAGCCGCCTAAAAAAAACAGACCATGGCGGCCTCCCCGTGAATAGCCTCGGCCACCAGTCTCCGTCCCTTTTTTTTTTAACCCTTTTACTGTTAACTTGTAGTACATAGCTTTTCTTCCCCCACATCCCACCGTCCCACCGACGGACAAAAAGAAAGGGCAAATTATACGGAGTCCAGAAATGCCTAGAATTCCGCAACACCTGCCCTTTTTTTTCCTTCTGCCTTCTCTTGGCGCTGTAGAGTAGCAGAAGGGACGGCGTAACGGAGCAGAGGATATTTCCCTTTGCCCCCCAATGGCGTATACGGAAGTCCACGGACCACCGGCAATGATGGCAGCGGCTTGGCATGATCTGAGTGATTTACAAATGAGAGCAAAAAGTGCATGTATTGTAGGCCAGGGGGGGTCTCAGTCCGGAGATGGGCCACCGACTCAGTCGCACTCTGTAGCCTCTGGCCTAAAAGTTGCATAACCTGGCATTCCGGAGGCGCAGCGGCCACGAGATGAATGCGGAACGTAGCACTCGTTCGTTTGGTTAATAAAACATGCCCCATACCAATGTCTCAAATTTGCGGGCGATAGGTCATTTTTGCCCATCGGACGATCACCCAACAAGATCATAGCACCAAGACACGCTTTTTTTTACAAGGGGATGAAAGCACAGAGAGAGAGAGAAGAGAGAGAGTAGTAGTAGGTAGCAGCAAATGCCTAGTTTCATTGTTGTGTCTATGACTGCCAGACTGGGCAAGATGATAGTTTCAATCCCACATTTCAATCGTTATCTCTGCCCATCGTATCCCGACCTATTCCAAATAAAAAACAAAACCCAGTCGTCAACATCCCAGGGTATTCCGCGACGAACCCACGAATGCTCCAGTAGTAGTACATGATTCCCTTCCAATTCCCAATGCCAGTAGAGTGCCCCCCCTCCCCGCCGCCTTTCATAGACGTTGATAATGCATGACGCCAAAGTGAGATTGCTAATGAAAGAAAAAAAAAAAAAAAAAAAGAGAGAGAGAGAGAAAGTAGAAAGAGAAAGAAGAGAATATTACATAGTATTAGAAAAAAGGGTGCGTGTATGAGATTGCGTCACATACGCAACACAAGCGAAGCCGATGATCGAAAGATGAGTTGCAAAGTACCCGCTCGAGCCAGCGAGGACGGTGTGGAGAGAGATTGAACGCAGCCTGTCATGTGGCCAGGCGGTTTGAGAGATTTTGGTGGGGCATCGTCCAAATGCTGGCGGCTATGACGGTTGATGTTGTTGAGAGAGGTTGTCATTGAGAAGCCGATGAGAGCCAGGGTTGGTGATTCGATGTCGACACGCCCAAAAAAAAAAAGAGGCCGGGCTCGGTTTGGTGGGGGCAAGCCGCATCTCGGCCGCGAGCAGCGAAAGCAGATGACCCCGAAATATGCATGTCCAGCTCGGGAGAGCAGGTCGCATATTGAGTAGATTGTGTCATGTCCAGCCCCGCAGCGGTTGGAACGACTTTGTGATACGGAGTATAGTAGAGTAGCAGCAGAAGTGGTGACGTGCAGCTCAGATCCGCTTCGCATAGCAGATGCGCTCGCGATGTGCCGTCGACCAGTGCCAATGGCGGTCAAAGCAAAAAGAAGTAATTGTGAAACCTTGTGTAGTAGATCCGGATAACCATGGCCAAGAAGGCTTTAGCCAAGGAGAGGCGTAGCCATTGTCTCAAAGTTGGAGAGAGAGAGTATGATGTATCTCCTCAGAGCGGGCGCGGCTCTCATTTGGGCAGAGGAGGAAGAGGTCGGCTGGGTGGGGGACCCGGGCAGGGAGGAAGGTGAGAAGGTCGCTGAGCAGGCATTGTGAGGTTGTGAGGGTTTGTTGAAAAGCTGTGAGAGCTTGATATGTTTGGTGTTGTGGACGACGGTAGAAGGCGGCGTCCCGTGTAAGTAGGTTGATGGTTGCTGGTCGAGAGCAGATAGGCTTGAGTGCTAGAGCAGCAAAGTTCAAGTGTGAGGCTTTGAAGTAGTGTAGATGGTTTGGTTTGGTGTGCAAGCAGTTGTGATGCTTTGTGATTGTGATTGTGATGATCTGGGGAGTAGACAGTTCGTGGGGAGAGGCGAGGGCAAGTGTCCTTATGTATTTTGGAAGAGGCAATGAATGGAAAGGCGAATCTGACGAGAGAGGGCACTTGTATCGTAGCGCAGCACCAGCACCAGCGCCAGGGGGCGTCCGCAGAGGAACATCCATAGGCATCCGACCAGGGGGGGAGGGGTGTGTACTTACTCAACCACAGAGTACGAGATACAATCGACGCGGGTACCTGTTGAGCATGACGGGCATGCATTGCTGCATATACGTCAGCCCAGAATTGCGAGTACCAGCGGGGCTTGTACCTCCATACTGCTACTGAAAAAAAGCCAGACCGCAAAATGGCAGCCCCCACACAGGCCTTCCCGTGTGCGCTGGGCGCTTCTCACAGCTGATGCAACCCTGGCTGGTGACGCAGCGGCCAGCCCAGCGGGGCCAGGTAGGAAATTGAAACAGGCACAGGGGGGGAGAGGCGCTGTCGAGCCCTGATCCCTGCCGTGCTCATTGAACGCAGGGAGGGCGGTGGGATGGACTGGACGTGGACCCGATGGGTTGATTGACTTTTTTTTGGTTGAGAGACACTTGTTGACGGTCTGCCTGAAGCTAGCATTGAGTGTGCTGCCTGTGCTGTACTGTACGTACTCGTACCGTCTGGTTTCAGCAGTGCCGAGATAGGCAACCCAGAAAACGGTGAGTTGACCAATTGCTCGATTGATTCGATGCCGTTCGAAATTCTACTTTGGTCAATCAATCGGGGCCTGGCCTGGGCCTCTCGCTCCAGCAGCCAACCACAGCCCTCTGCGCGTCGAAATTGCGCTGGCAGCCTCCCTTGCCTTGCGCCGCCGCCCCAGGGCTGGCTGCTGGCCAAGCAAAAAGTACACCAACGGCTGCCACCTCTCACCGGAATTTGCCTGCATTCGCCATCGTTTGCAGGTACCTACATACATACCGCTGCCGCCCGCCATTCCCCCATCCCATCCCATCCCCATGTTACCCGTACAACGCAAAGGTGCCTACGACACGGCCAGCCAAGCAGTAGCAGTACATATCGTACTGGACACGCATTTACACGTATCCCTCCCCTTTCCGTTTTCCAACGCTCAAACTGGCCTGCTGCAGCCAGTCAAAGTCAGGCCAGCGTGAGGCCAGCCTCTTTGTCGGCCGGTAGATGCAACTGAACTCCACGTAGGTACTAATGTTACTATAGTAGTACTGGTATACTGTACTGTACCTTTCTCCGCCTGTTACTCTGCAAGGTACCTCCTACTTTGCCTCTTGGTGAAATATGACCACGAAATCTCGACTCTCCCAAGCGCCCTCGCCCGGGCATACGAACCGATTGGGAAACGGACTGGCCGCCCATCTCCGTAACTCAACGCCTCAAGGAACATGATCAAATCCCGGCCCACTCGCCTCCGTTTTTCGCCTTTTCCCACGCTTCGTTCCCTTTTTCCTTCCCTTCCCTTCTCCTTAACGGAGCGCCCAGACGCCCTTTCGGCTCCACCGTATGGAAGCCTTCTGGAAGCTCCGACTCTTTCTAGCGCCGAACACACTTCTGCCCAGGTCCTTTCCATTTCCTTTTCCTGCCACCCTTTTTCTGTGGAGAAGCCGGCTCTAGCACGTTTCATCCTGTCCTTGATTTTCACAGGACCTGTTCGCCGCAATCTCACCCTCGTTTTCAGCCAGGCGCAAGGACCAGCTGGGCATCAGAATACGGAATAAGGGTTGCGGCGCAGGAATCGTGGGGCAAGGGCCACTTGTCAAATTGGATTTGCAACAAGCAGCGCCACTGTGCCTTACTCGGACCAGAAACAGACACAGTAAGTAGCATCGTGGCTCTAGAACCCCCCCGACCATGCAGAGCTGAGGGAAGGGAAAAAGGACATCAGAGACCAGGGGGTGGTTCCTCCGACAACTGACAAACTCTCTCGCTGTCCGTATTTTTTGTCATTTATTCTGGAAATGCGAGTGTGTGTGCGTGTGATTCACACCGTAGCCGACGTAGCTCGTAGCTACAGTACTCTACACCATTTGCCAATCACACTCAAGGCCAGCAGAAAGTGATCAGGTGCCCTCTCCAAGGGAAAATCGCCCCAGTCCTGGGCGGGGCTTGGCGGTCTTGGCCCCCTGCGATTCTAAGAGTCCGACCCCGTCCGGCAATCCGATGCATATCTGCAGTCGCCTCTTCTTGTTGACCGCCAGAATAGCATCCCATCATTCCAGGCGGTAAAAAATTGCTAGTAGCAAAAAAAACTGGACAAGCTGCTTTGCATGACAAACGGCGGGTCGATAAGATGGAATCACGCTACGAAGCTCATGAGGAAGGAAAAAAAACATCTAGCGTTCCTTGATACCCGATTATGGGACCCTTTGCGGTGTAGTTTGGGGCGTGTCTTTTATTCCCCCGGCTTTTTGATGGCCCTTCCATCTCAATGCAGCGGTACGGTGTAGAGTAGATTGACATGGTACGAGTACGACGTCAGAGGTCCAACAGAGAAAAGAGAGAGAGACTGCTGAGTGAGAGAGATGCCTGCTTCTCTTTCTGGGTGATCTGCAGGGCTGCCACAGAAGCAGATCGCGATATTTTGCGGGGCGGGAGCTTTTTGCACGTCTTGTCTCGTCAGCTGCCCTCTTGATGCTGGACGTTTTACACCCTGGCTGTAACACATGTTGATGGGAGTGAAACGGTGCTTGTTGTTCCTGGAGGCATCACGCCTCTTGGCCTAACTGGCATCTTCCGGTCTGGGCATCGCAAGTACGAGTTTTAGCATTGAGGCCGGTGGGCGCTTACACCGGGCTCCTCTTTAGGCCGGTATACTTGTATACGGGCATCGATATTCGTGGCCACCAGCATCCGGTGCTAAATGTAGCCCGATGAAAATTCTGTCTAAAGACGGAGGCTAAAGGCCCGTGCTTGTTCTTTTTCTCTTCCATTTTTTCCATCGAGCGCCTTAAACTCGACGCCAATTTCAAAAGCAGCCGTTGACAAGACGGTAAGAGACCGAAACCGCTATACTACTAGGCCTAGCTGCTTCCATGTTGGTATCACGACTCGAGCAGGGCTCCGTGCGCCTTAGTTCGTTGCTCACCGCATTGCGGGACGATGCAGAGCCGAGGCCTCGGTCAGCGCCAACGGACGTGGAAGTCGGCAATCGGGAGTTTTCTGTTTGTGGGAGTGAATCAAACCAACGAGGGCAAAAAGGAAAGGAAAAAATCACGTTCATGCTGCCGCCCGAGGCTCTGGTAACGAGCAGTGTAAGACGCACCCCCCCACCGTTCCGTGCTCGTGACCGCCATGGCTCCAGGCTCCTAGACCGAGCTAAAGACAAGTCGATGATGACATGGACTTTGCGACGGTCAAGAGAAAAAAAAGCGTGAGCTGTGCTTTGTTGGGCATTCGATGCGGTGTCCAGATGTTTGGTCCGTCACACGTCAACAGGCCCATGTACGAGTATGTACAGTACTTGGGCAAAGTGCCGTTCGCCCTCCTCTGCCGCATGTCACTCGTTCACGCCAGCGGAAACTGGCCAGTAGCGTTCCGTTTCGCTCACACATCCTGCAGCCTTACATACCCTCCCACGTTGTTTGACAAAACTCCCACCGACCTGGAATGGGATCCAATGGGTTGGAGTCGTTGTCGCCCAGTGGTTCGCCCGCCCAGGCAGTGACTTCTGTGTGTGATGTGAGGCTCAAAGGGAACTAACACCCACCACATCACATCCCTGCGTACGGCGGCGTCCATCATTGGGCTTCAACACTGCAGGCTGGGCAGTGACTCACATGGCGGCTTCGACATGCGAGTTGATGCCACGAAAGCTGTCAGCCAGTCTAGCTCCTACAACAAAACATGGGGTATGCTCATCAAATCCGAGAAGCTCCTCCCCAAAACATGCCAGTGCTGCCAGGCATCTGTGGGGACATCTGTGATGTTGAGAAGTGAGATTGACAGAAATGCTCTTTTTTCTTTTTTTCGGAGCATTCATTACCCGCCAGAAAAATAACCCGACCTAATGTTATGGGATTAAATTACTCTGAGCACATGCATGCATCTATCGATGCACGTTCCAAATTAAGAGTCATTCGGGCCGGGGCAGCGATGAAATCATAGGGGTCCTCTTTTTTCTTTTTTCTCTTTTTTTCCTTTTTGCCCTCTATCTCTTTGTTTTTTTGATAGCAGCTCGTTCACGGATGTTTTTTTTTTCGTGCCCAGGATCATCACAGACATGGCCTGCGTTGGGGTTAGTCTCGTTGACAGCTCGCATTGTGTGATTCTTTTTTGAGGCTTGACGGCACACATCACAAACTACATGTGCCGAGTCCTCTCTCTACGTACGACGATGCGCCCGTTGTAATTTGCCCAACGCCCTTTTACAACAAAGAATAGACAAGAGAGAAAAAAACGAAACATGATATGTTGATAAACACAAACCATCTTATCACAAAGTGGACACCAACTAAACAAGCAGGGCAAAAAGTTGAGCCTACGGATATATCCGGGCGTGTCCTTTGATCCACGGATGAGCACCAGCAGAAGGGGATTAAAAACCGAAGCACTTTAACAAGAGTCCACCCAGCGGGGACGGCCAAGACAAGGGTCTTTGGAGAGAGAGAGAGAGGAAAGGCTGCGCACGGGGCAAGATACTTGTGGACGTCGTATCCGCCTCACTCATACAAAAAAGAAAAACACGACAGGGCTGTCGGTAAGTCGGATAAGGCGTCATCCTTTTTTTTTTTTTTTCTTTTCTGTTCGTGTCTGAGCCACCCCGCGACAAGGACGGGTACCTGGCCTGGGCTTTTTTTTTTTGCTTTCTTTTTCTGTACTTGACGGGTGGATAAGTTGCCTGACGGGCCGGCTTGTCAAACCCCCCTGCTTATCTTTTTTCAATGTCTCATTTATTTCTGTCCTTTTCCTCACTGCATCTGCGTCTACGCGTACTTCGTACTCGCATGTGATGCGAAATAACAACACAGCCAGACGGCACAGCCAAGCCATTTTGCTTCTTGGTATTCCAATGTCTCTCGCCTGGCCGGTAGCAGGGCCCTTCTCGGCCAGTCTGGATTCCGGTATTTGTTCGCGTACTCGTAGTACCAGTGCTAGGTCGTATAGTACATGCTGCTACTAATGTATACGAAGTACGAAGTACGATAATAGCACCAGACTACGATTACAGGTCTTACACCTTTGACAGATCGGCAGTCGGTGTAATACTGAGCTCTGCCACTCCGTACGAGCAGCACTAATTTAGCACGTCAAAAAAAGAATTGAAGGATCAAATGCAAGCCCCTGGGTGGCACAGTCGGTGCTCTGGTCCTGCAGCTACAGCAGGAATGAATCCAGGCAGACGGATGCCTTGCGAGCCGATCGCCAATGCTACCCGGTAATCACATGGCAGCACAAAGGACCTGCAAGCCTATCCGTATCGCCATCTCCCGCAGGAATCCCAATCCAATCCCAATCCTCCCTCAGAGGCGAGCTGTCCCAGTCCAGTGTAGTACCCGCAGGATCCGCCTTGCAGGATGGAAGGAATGCATTGCAGTACGAAGAGCCAAGCACGTGTACCAAAGTTAGTGCCGTGTATCGAAAAAGAGCAACCATCGTGGAACCTTGTCCCACAAGCTAGCGCTCCCTTCCCAATCTCCCAAATTTGGCATCAACCGAATCGGCACATCCCACACGCCTGTCACACACTCCAGAGTATACGTAGGTACACCGCCGTTTCGAATTGATCGAGGCTGCGGGCAGATTTCTGTGCCGTACTATTTTCTCTCTCTCTCTCTGCCTTTATGCCGGGACTGACTGGGACAGGGGGTGGTGGTGGTGGGCAAGGTTTAATTGAGTACGGTGGATCGATCCACCTCCCTTCTAAGAGAAGAATGAAGCCAAAAAAGAGAGACGACACACAAACTATCGTTGACGCAGAACAAAATTGCGTGCGGAGCAGGAGTTCATTACGACAGATCATGACGCTGCTGGGAGGTGGACTGGGGTGTCGGATGACGGAAGAGTTATCGACAAACTGCTGTTTCATCGTGTCTAAGCTAAAACGTGAAACCGGAGGCTACGGCCTTTTGGTGCCTTTTTTTTTTTGTGTTACTCGCAATTTCTCAATCGTGAATGGTAAACCAATAGCGTACCAAGAGGTCGGCATTTGTCATTTTTCGGTTGCCGTTTTGCCGGCGGCAGAAGAAAAAGGGAACAGAAATTAGAAAGCCTTCTAGTGCCAAAACTTGTAAGATGAGGCAATCGCGGCTAAATGGGGGTCCCGAATATGTACAGTACGCACTAGCAGTAAAATGGCATGTGTGGCCATTGATATCATTTTATTCTGTTTTGTTGGGGCGGCAGCCATATCACTGTTTGTATAAACAAGTGCACAAGCGTCTTATTTGGTGCGAAGCATACATCTCGTACATAACAACCAAACCACCTACAGTATACTCACACTTACAACGTGTCCAGGGGTTGGTTGTGATGAGACGCAATTGACTTTCTCTGCCCTCCCCCTGGCAAGTGTGCTTCTCCCAAGCGAATTCGACGGATTTCAAAAGAGGTTGCCCCTATGCAGGTACTCGTACCCTCGAAAACCTTCACCACCACCCTCTCAGTCTTTGCCCTTTCTGACTGATCACCCACCCCAGGCCGTCGCAACTCAATTCCCCAAGCCAACTTTTCTGACAGCCCAGGAACCAGCTCGTTCGACGCCCGTCGCCGCTCGTTCGACGTTCGCCCCCTCCTGGCGCCAGTCTTCTTCCATTCTTCCCTGGTCGGGGTGCGGAGTTGAAATGCCACGCAGAGAGATCTCGCCGGTGTACATGATAAGCATAGGGTAGCATCGCTCCTACAGCACACGTATGTAGCCCTATCATCTCGAGGAACAAGAGTCGACGCCGAATCAGCAGTGAAAGTGAAAGCTGATTGAAGAAAAAAAGGCGAGGCCCCTTGTTCCAGCTCTCTCCAGGGGGTTCCAGCCAACTGGGCCGTCCTAGCGCAAACTGGCGCCTGCCAATCACCGTGCCTCGTCTGCCCTCCGCATTTCCCGAGGGGCTTGTTCAATGGTTTGTTGTTGGCCAAATTTGCCCTGATTATCTTTGATTTTTTTTTTGGGGAGTTCAAGGTTTCGGGTCCTTGAATTTTGCGTTGTTGGTCGATGATTGGATGCCATTGGCTGCTTCGACTCGGTTGCCGGGTCGCAGAATCGTTCCATTTCGCTTCCAACCAGAGTTCAGCAGGCATTCTTCTCCTTTCACAGTATCATCTCTCACTTCTCCTCAAAAATGCTGTTGGTTCGACGAACATCATCAAATGCTTGGCGACTAAGCGAAACGGCGTGGCCGTCAAAACGTTCGCCGCTTATCTCGTACCTGGTCCAAGGGCAACGCAAGCCACCGAACCGCACACCTTTCGCCGTGCTGTGCTAGCCAGTTGGCATCTAGAGATACGGCATGGATTTGTCCAAGCTATTGCCAATCTGCCATCTCTGGGGTACAGCTTCCCAGGGTCAGCTGTTCACCGTGCATGGTAGGATTGGGCAGCTTGGCCCTGGTCTATCGTCAGATGATCACAACCATGATTGCGGGGATCCTTGCGTCTTTTGTCTCGCTGGGCCAGCAGCCCCGATCCATGATACAACACTGCCGCCCTACTTCGAATCGAGAGACACAAGAGGGCGTCCGTCTGCGATGCTCACACAGCAGCGCAGCCCTGATGATTGGGCATCAACGGGGCTCCAAGGGACCGGGGGAGAGAGCAAATCTCAACGACTTGCTCAGCCTTGTCGTGCGGGCAAAACCGTTCTACTGGGACGAGTCAAGCATTCCCGGGTCCCTTGCCCAATGACGCCCGCAGTTGCAGGAGAGGATTACGTGCGTGCATTATTTTTGGGGACGAGCGAGCCCTTGGTAACGAAAATACCACACACGATGCTCGTACATGCGCGTGCCCCCATGTGCGTCGCTTCTTTGCGCCAGCCGCTCTACCTATTCCGACACGGCACCAGCAGAGCAGCCAGCCTGCGGCACTACGAGCAGCACTACCTTGGGTATGGACAGCACTATGAGCGGGCTGCGGCGATGATGCGACGGCGGCTGCTCCCTTGCGAACCCTCGTCTCCAGCCGCACGGCTCCCGTCTCGCAAGGGCCTCGGCGCAGCCACGCAGCTGAAAGCTGAGGACCAGGCACAGGAACGGGCACGCCAGAGCCCTGCAAGGATGCGCTGCCATTGGTCTTGCAAACGGGGGGGCCGTATCTGTACCGTCGCTGTGGCATCCCTCATGCACCTTGTGCAGATGCCCTACATGAAATTGATTTACCGGTGGTCTACGAGGTACTGGGTAGGTTTGTATCCTGTACCCTTGGGCGTGCGCGTTGTTGTCATGGCAGGACGGATTGGGTCCATTGCCGCAGTAAGTCGTGAATCTTCCGTTTTGCAGCGTCAGTCATCCACAGGATTGCATACAGCCGCACCGCATGACGTGCCCAATACTCGATGTCGTGCCTTTTTTTTTACCTGACACACCTGCCGCTTTCTGTCTCGGGATCCGCCATGAGCAAAGGCCACCTCCACCTCCATCTTCATCTCCATCTCCATCTCCATCTCTCTGCTACATGGTTAAAAGGCTGAGACGGCTGCCTCTCTCTGCTAAACAAGGTGCTTGGTAATGAAATTCGGCTTGCTCGGGGGGGCATGATTGCCTGAGCGATGCAGATCGACTGTTACTGTAACACCCAGCCGTCAGCATGACGCGGCTCGGAGACAAAGAGCTCGGCACTTTGCGGGAGCTGTTGATAAGACAATCTAACATGAGCCGCCAGCGAAGCATTGGAGTCCGTTGGTATCGCCGACGTGGTTGTTTCTGCCGCTGTAGTGCCTATCGCCTGTACAAGGACGTCTTGTCTGGCCTAAACTTACCGTGCTTGTTATGTCGGAAGCTGATTAACCCCCGAAACACACAAGCCCTAGCCGTAGTCGTCGTAGGAATCGATAAGTGCGACTTGCACTTGGAGTCTTGCTAGCTGCGTCAACACCGTTTGAGTCAGTGCGAAAGGGGTGGGGCCTTGACCTGACCTGGAGTTGAGCTGTTCAAAGCTCCATCCCATGTCCTTTCTGCTCCCGCTGTACATGTACGGAGTATGTAGATTTCCAATGGCGAGATTGATCAATCACTGCACTCGTACGAGGCCCTGCTGTGGAGAGCTCTTGGGGGCGCAATGGCGCAGTGACCAGGCGCAGCTCCACCAGCAAAAAAAAAAAAAAAGAGAGAGAGAAGCCGTGCCGTCAAGCCACTAATTTTCCACGTGGTGGGCAGGGGTTGCTTGTGGCGTCCCCAAAACACGGACCCCTGGCGATCAGCGATGGGATCAAAGGGCTGCCACACCTCGCCTCTTGAAGCTGTGCTGTGCGAATGGCGAGCGATCCAGGGCGCTGGTTGAAGTCGGCCACTGATCACCTACAGGTACAGGCGAGGGGTTGTATGTATCAGGTCGTACTTTATAGGATTGTCAACCCATCTGTAGAATTACGCCGCTTTAGGCTTCATACATCAATAGATGTATCTGGATGTGTTGGATGCCACCCCCCTCCTCCTCTTTCTCGCGCCATATCGCGATTCGAGTTGCTGCCAAGCAAGAAAAGCAACGGATGAAGGGATGGTTGCTGAGCTTGTCCTGCGCCATCGTCGTATTGACTTTTCTCTTCTGTCTTGCTGGTGGTGTCTACCCCTCTCATTCATGCCTGAGATATATGACGACAGCGTGCGGAGAACATCGTCCGGCGTTCGAGATAGCACATGTACACGTACACTAACACTACTAAAGCATCACGCAGCTCGGCGGACGGGTTAATTGGCCGCTCCCACATCATAGATAATACATGTTGAAAATACACGGCATCAAAACGTGTTGGCATTACTGACAGTGGGCAGATCGTGGAGGAAAAAAAAAAGCCATGTGCATTGAGGTGCTTGTGTTACACTCGCTCTTTTCTTTCCCGCGCTGTTTGTACAGGGTAGGTGTTTTTTTGTTGTTGCAGGTGGGCGCTTGTCAAAATCTCCACGAGGGCGTACGAATACGGCACACCTCACCACGAACCTCGTATCGCCAAGGTGAGGAGCAGCGGTTTTTTTTTTTTTTGAAGGAATTCACGGTTGAATTGCTTTTTTACCTTTTTATTCGCCTGAGTCGGCACAGAGACGCTCCGATGCAAACTTTATTTTCAAAGGCCTTGGCAAAAGGGCCATGGTTAATACAGCACATTGGTATATAGTGCTTGTAGTTGAAGCTTTCGCCTGGAGCTAGTCGGGGAGCTACACACCTTGGTGTTGGTGATAGCTTCAGCCTTTTTTTTTTGGTCGCCCACTGACTGAGGGGAAAGGCGCACCGAGAGGGTGTAGCGTAACGAGGCCTGTATGGCCGAGACTGAAAAGCCACATCGTACCAACTCAGGCTCAGCTGCGGGACGCCTGCAGGAATCGAGTTGTGACCATGGTCGATACTTGTGCCCAAAGTACCTTTTTCTCTGCCCTCGTCTCTCGCCAGGGCATGGATCTTCGGCGCTGTCATGCGAGAGATGCCGTACATTGGCCTTGTGCATGTAACTTCTTGGGGGGTCGCGGTATTCTCGGCAAACCAAGTCGAGGCTCTTCCCGCCCGTCGTTGCAAAGCCCCCCCTCTGGCCCTTTTCTGCGGGGGCCGTTGCGTTGCAATCAACCCCAGGCAAAAGTGTACGAGAGTTACGGTGGGATTGAGGCATTCACAGATTGAAAACCGTACGATGGATTTGCTTTGTTTGACAGCTGCCCTTTGGGGGGACCTGGTAACCAATCAGCCCGGTCTTACGATAGGCGCCCAACACCTTGCGGGCTCGGCGCTATCTGGCAGTATCGCCAACCCACGGCCGATACGCCCGCTTGCGATGCGATGCGATGCGATGCGATGCGACCTGTTGCCGCGACCGTCCCGAGGCACACGGCAGATTTTCATTTCTTTCTGATTGAATCCATGGCCCATACCCCAAATGACGGCCCGACAAGTTGCGGTGACGTGACTCTGCTTGCTGCAACTGCACCAATGGGCTCGTCGCGCCTGGAACATGCCACCTCATACATCATACATGGGAGAGGCGCGCACATGATCCATCTATTGCTCCGAGATATCCTGGCGCAATCCTGCGTTATCTCTTTTGTTCGTGAAAGTGACGAGGCACAACAATCAACGGACAAGCATTGAGGCTAGACGCAGCTTTTGCCTCGACCACACCAATCAGACGCGCCGCAGCCTTGTCATGGCGCCTCACGTGGCAGTTCGAGACGAGGCAATTAAGGTCTTTGCCGGCCAATCACGGCGTTTCGTGCCTTTTTTTTCCTCTCCTTCTGACAGGCGCATGTATGAGATCAGAAAATAAACCACGGCCCGTTCTGGGGCACAATTCGGCCTATCGTGCGGAGCGGAGCGGGCGGGCGAAATCTGGACTCTCACCGGAAACCCTTTCAAACCTCAGACAAAAACGACCCATGGCAGCGCAACCAAAATGGTCCATCGACAAGCTCAAAGTGATAATTGCCGCGAAAAGAGTATATCCTCCGCACATGCTGCCATTGTGCGATATTAATGGGGGTATATCCCCACCACTTTTTCTTTTACGTACATTGTTGCTGCTGCTGTTACTTCACTCCCCGTGCTTTTTACGAGGGAGTATGTACGAGACCATACGGAGCAAGGTGAGCGGGATGGTCCGTTTGAAACGTTTGAAAATGGGCATGGGTGCGATAGCAAGACCCTTCTTTTGATCCAGTCTCCGATTATATTGTGCCGAGGCAGATAACAGCTTTCCCTTGTTGCTTTGTGTTACTTGATGGAAAAAAGAATGCAGAAAGCAGAGCGAGAACCAAAAATGGGCTCACCGATTTGTGAAACCGCAGATAATGTGCCTCAGGACACTCTCAGCACCGCCATGGACCCCATGATGATGAGTCCCCCATGGTGTTTCTGGTACGAGTGCTTTATCAACTGATCTGTGGGTGTACGACTGCTTGTGCTTGTGCTAGGACTCGGACTTGGTTAGAGGACGCCCTCGCATCACTTCGCATTGCATTGCATCGCATCGCTCAGCCCAGGAATCGCCCGCATGCGCCTGGATACACAGTCTCCGCATTGCGAAAATTGCCCAGCCCAGTGATTGGCGCCCGGAATTGGATCCTTTATGCGAGACCATGCCTATGACGAGACGCAAACGAATCCTCCAGCTCCGGACGCGATAATTGTTGGCATTGCCAATTATCAACAATGCCTTCTTGGCCGAACCACCACCCCCCTCCGTTCCCCCCTTCACCTTGTCATGCGGCCTCCTCGCCAACGGGTATTTGCGTTGACGCGATCCAGTTCTCCATCATGGCCTGGCCCCCAAGGTTTTGCTGCGTCTTGCTCTCCTTCTTTTTGACGATCAAACATAGGACGCGGCCGTAAATTGCGAACCCCTCATATGACACGTCCATTGCGAGCTTTTTCTTGTAGTCATCGTGAAACTCCCCCTCTGGCTCTGCTGCTGGTAGTTTCACGGGGCCCCTGGGGCGTTTTGGCAGAGGCTGATGACCGTCAGAATCCACATCGACAACCGAGGCAGACTCGTCCCCGGCGTCTTCGAATTCGTCCGAGTCGTCGATTTCGAGGGTATTGCTCCTTTGGCGCTTTGCGCGCCGGCGGGTGTTGGCGGAGGGGATATCGCTGAGCGCCACGCCTTCGTGGTCACTGTCCTCCTCGATACGGATTGGCGCAAAGTCGTTGGCATCCACGTCGATGGGAGTCGCATTAGTCTCTGCGATGAGCTTGGATGCGTTGGACTGCAGCGCAGATGGGCCCTTGTCCCGGAAGAACTTTTGCTTCGTGAGCAGAGAATGCCGTGTGTCGGTTTCCATTAAGAAGACGGAAACCTCAAAGTCATCTGCTGGTAGGTTAGAATCCGGCATTTACTCCAGACCAGGCCAGTCATGCGGAGGCGGAAAGAAGCTCGAGAAGAAGAATTGTTACCTTTTACGATGACGTCTTTGATCGTCTTCTTCTTTGTGCTCTTCTTTTTACTTCGTTCTTTTTCTTCACGGAGCTTGGGTATCACGAGTGGTCGGATGGCTTCGATGACCTGTGGAAGAATGGGATTTCGGGGGTTCAGAAGCCATGACTGTGCCAGCGCCGGGTTGTCCAAGTATATCCTGCATTCAAGAACGGAATACTTTGTAATCCTCAGGTACCGGCGTATGGGTGCCATTGTGTTTCACTGTTACTACGAGCTGTATCGCGGGAGCGTGAATGTTGAAAAGAAGGAGCTTGAGCTCTCTGGTGATGTAATCGCGGCTCTGGGCCACATGCCCCGCGCCATCCACTAAAAATAGGGTCCAAGGCCGCTATAAGCTCCCGCCGCAGGACCCAATTGGAGAATTCATCGCAATTGGCGCGGGAGGTGGTCTGGTTGCGAGATCTTAGAAAAAAAAAACTTCCTTCTCTTGCAGTCGCCGTTGCAAAGCGTCAATTACGTCGCATCTTGCCCACTGAGGCTCTAGCCTAGCGCGTACTGGCCGTCCGGCATGGTTTTGGTACGAACATGTCAAAGTCATGGAAATCGACGCTGAGGCTGCCCCGCTCAAGCTTCCCGTGAGCTGACCATGCGGAGGAGAGATGGGATGGATGTTGAGATGAATTCGCTGACTTGGGGGTAGAGCTCGGCCGAATCCAAAGCTGCAACAGCAGCTCTTGCGCGACTGCACCAATAACTATTACCAATGGCAGACGAGCAACCGGCCAAAAGAGAACCCGTTCGTACTCCACGATGGCCCGCCGTACGCCAATGGGCCGCTTCATGCCGGCCATGCGATCAACAAGACTCTCAAGGACATGATCAACAGGGTTCAGGTGCAGGCTGGTAGAAGGGTCATGTACAGGCCGAGTTGGGACTGCCACGGCCTCCCCATTGAGATGAAGGCTCTCGGGGAGAGTGGTACCAAGGGATTGAGCCCGCCCAAGGTTCGAGAATCTGCCAGGCGTTTGGCGAGCAGGACGATTCTGGATCAGATGAAGGGATTCCAGTCGTTTGCCGTCATGTCCGAGTGGGATAATAAGTGGACAACCATGGACCGCGCCTTCGAGATTCGACAACTTCGCGTGTTCCAGAAGATGGTCCGCAGCGGCCTCATATATCGCAAGCACAAACCCGTTTACTGGTCGACATCGTCTCGCACGGCTTTGGCCGAGGCTGAACTGGAATATCGTGACGACCATGTGTCGACTGCTGCCTATGTTAAATTCCCTATTTTGTCTGATTGGAGCTCGGTTCCCGGACTGAGCGACTTCAAGGGCCAACTGTACGCTGCTATATGGACAACAACCCCCTGGACGCTTCCCGCCAACAAGGCCATTGCTGTGCACAATGAGCTCGACTACGCGCTGCTGCAGGTCGGAAATGATGGACTTTTGGTCGCAGAGAGCCGTCTTGAAGAGATTGCAAAGAACATTCCCTCTGGTGTGGTCATTGCTAAGTCGATTCCTGGTTCCCAGCTAACGGGTCTCTTGTACCGAAACAAGCTGAGAGGGAGCGCCTCTTCCTTGCAGCCCATTGTTCATGCCGAATTTGTCTCTGCTGATTCCGGAACCGGCCTCGTCCACATGGCACCTGGACACGGACAGGAAGACTACCAGGCTTGCTCGGCGTTGGGCATCGAAGCGTTCGCCCCCATCACGGATGAAGGGCACTTTACTCCCGAGGCCTACCCAGACGACCCTGAAAAACTGGCTTCGGCGCCATCTATTCTCGACGGCGGAAGCCAGGCTGTGCTGGAACTGGTTGGAGAAGATGTGCTCTGGACTCATAAACTTGTCCATAAGTACCCGTATGACTGGCGCACGAAGAAACCTGTGGTTATCCGAGCCACGGCGCAGTGGTTCGCGGATGTAGGAAGCATCAAGGAAGACGCTCTTCAGGCGTTGAGCCAGGTGCGTTTCGTCCCCGAATCTGGCAGAGTTCGCCTGGAAAGCTTCGTCAAAGGTAGAAGTGAGTGGTGCATTTCCAGACAGCGATCCTGGGGGGTGCCTATTCCTGCTCTCTATGATGAAAGTGGAAACGCTGTCATGACGGATGAATCTATCGAGCACATCATATCTGTTATGGAACAAAAGACGTCAGACGCATGGTTCTCGGATGCTCCAGACGATGCCGCCTGGATTGCGCCATCGCTCAAGGGAACGTACCGACGTGGAACTGATACAATGGATGTTTGGTTTGACAGCGGTAGCAGCTGGACAGAGATTGGGCGTCCTGTGGATGTCTATCTTGAAGGCTCTGACCAGCACCGAGGCTGGTTCCAATCCAGTCTCCTAACATTTGTGGCAGCTCAAAAAGCAGACGGCAAAACTGGAACTGACATTGCACCTCCCTTCGGAACACTCATCACCCATGGCTTCACGCTTGATGCGCAAGGCAAGAAAATGTCCAAGTCTCTGGGCAACACCATTGTCCCCAGTGAGATTATGGAGGGCAGGCTACTGCCCCCTCTGAAGAGCAAAGGGAATGATGCCGCCACACGATTCGACGCCCTCGGTACCGATGCCCTGCGACTCTGGGCGGCTAGCAGCGACTTTACATCTGATATTCTTGTGGGAGCATCCATCTTGCAGCCGATACACACTGCACTGATCAAATACCGCACAACATTGAAGATGCTGCTCGGGTCATTGCACCAATCTGCGCTCCAGGCACCGTTGACAAAGCTTGACCAAATCGCCATCCTGCAGCTTCAGGACGTCATGACTCAGGTCTGGGAGGCATATAGCAACTACGAATTCCACAAGGCTGTCGGGATGATCAACCGATGGATTGCGACAGACCTCTCTGCGTTTTACCTGGAAGGACTTAAAGACCGTCTGTACTGCGGTGATGGGGGCGGTGTCCTGGTTCCCATCTTGGTTGGATTCTTGCGAATGCTGGCACCAATCACGCCGATGCTGGTTGAAGAGGCCTGGTCTCACAGGCCGTCATGGATGGTGGAAGATGTGTAAGTCTTGCGGGCACATGATTTGTCGTCCACTAGTGTCGCCTATGTCTAACAAAGTTTTCACATAGGTCATTCGAACATCCGGCACGGCAGCTCTACAACTCGCATGTGATTGATCCCGCGCGCTTGACGCTGGATCAGGCGCAGCTACGACGACACTTGCCTATCCTGTCCGCTGTGCACGATGCGGTGAAGGCGGGGTTGGAGCAAGGCCGAGAGTCGAAAGCGCTCGGCAGCTCTCTTCAGTGCTCCTTGAACATCTCTGTTGCGGATGACCGCCTGGCCACCGTTTTGAAGGAGTACCTAGATGAGCTGGATGCCGTGTTTGTGGTATCATCTGTGGAGCTCAACACTCCCCTTTCGGCCGACAATCATGATTGGTGCTATTCGAAGGAGTTTGTCGTGGATGGCATGCAGGGCGTTGTGTATGTGCTGCCGCCTCTGCAGAGCAAATGCGGTCGGTGCTGGAGATATGTTGCCGAGGAGGAGGAGGGACTGTGCGGACGATGCAAAGAGGTTACAGCGGATACAGCATAGATCAACCTGTATGCGTTTGGATGTATGTATGGATGTATGTACGAGCGCAGTCCCCCGATTGATGATTCTATATTATATGTACGATAGATGCGATTTGATACACGGAAGTGGAGAAGAAAATAAATACACGTATATAGAATAAAATGTCATCCATGCCATTTTCATTCAATATGCGCCCACGATGCCGATGAGTGACGCAGATCATCGTCAACGGCAAAAACCGCATGCAAATTGATTGCCAAATGACGGATTTGGTGGAATTAGGCTTCTGACTGAAGGCGGGCAATAACATCACCGTGCATCTCCATGTGTGATTCGCATGCACGATCGAATGTACCAGTGACATGCCGGCATAATAAAAACCGGGCCTGGAAGCAAGGGACGAGTACCCAGATTGATTCGTTTCAAGCGGATTTGCCAATGTCCGGGTTTCAACCGGGTATTAGCGAGTTGCGCGTCCGACGGAAACTTGGCTTGCGCTGCGCCTCGCTCGCTGCATTTGCAAATTCGACACGAAGCTGCTGGTTACTGCTAACTATAGTATCTACTGGAGGATACAGGTAGTGGTGCTGCTAAGATCAGTTGGTTGCACATCTTTGGCCTTCTAGCTCTCCAGCTTGGTTGCTACTCTGTGACCCTGTTTTTTTGGCTGGCGCATCGCCAAACGGCCGGTTTCTCGCCTGTTTCTCATCCCTAGTGGAACTTGCACCCCTCATTATAACGGCGCCCCTTTTGACTCTCGTCCAGCTCCATTTGTGCTGTACAATATCCTTCTCTTCGCTCTTTGTCTTCTCAAATTCTTAGCCATGCGTCCCTTCTCGAGCCTTCAGTAGGGACGATTTCGCAACTGCACTAGAACCAGAACCGGTGGCGCTGGTGACTATGAACCGGCGCCCAAGCAATGGCCGATCACCACATGCCTGCGCCTCGGTCCGCAGGATACTACTCAGCGAGCCGCGACGGACGACGAGATGGCCCTGCGACGCCAGAGCGCCGGCGCAATAGCAGCCACGAGATGGGCAAGCCGGGGAATGCGTCCGGTCAGCGAGACGGCGACTTCTCTCCCCACGACGACGTGTTCCACGACGACGATGCCTTGAGCCCTCGCCGAGAGGCCTCCCCATACGCCGACGACGGATATGGCCACCGAGAAGAGCGGGCGCAGAAGAAGCACAAGGGCCGCTTGGGCGGGGGCTTCTTGCTACACGATGCCTTTGGTGGAGGGCGATCTCGTCGACAGCGGGCTGCTCACACGCCAGCTCCAGCTCCTCAGCTCCAGCTAGGCGTCGGTCGTGATGCTGCTTTCCAGGCTTCTCCTGGTCCTGGACACGATATGGGCATGCGGATGTCGTCTGCGCCCGTTCGGCGATCGGGCGAAGAGCCTGCAAACTCACCTCCGAGCACTGGGCATTCCGCCGACGGCAGGCTGTACGCGGACTCGCACCACCAGGAATCGCTCGCTGCTCCGGATCTGGATTCCACTCAGATTGTGCACATGGCTCTCAGCCTTAGCGAAAATCGCCGTCTCGCCTCTCGACGAAACGCCTCCCGGACAGCTGCCCCCCCGCGGCTTACACCCATCCCAGACGCATCCTCTTCAAGCAACATCAGACAGCATCTCCAGCAGCAGCGAAAGCTTTCGCGCACCGATTCTCCCAGCTTACTGCAAGAGCCGTCGGCCCTGGTTCCCGTATCTAGAAACAGCGGCAACTTCCAGTCCTCGTTTGAGTCCTCCCACGATGCCCAATACCGCTGGCAGTTTTCTGCCTCGACTCTAGCCAGAGCCCACAAGGCCAAGGTACATCTTGAGCTGTGGGCTCAGTACAGGCGACTGCTCGATGCGCTGCCGCCCCTAAAGCCAGGGCTCGAAAGGCCATCGTCGGGTAGCTCCCCAGACTCTCCTGTGCTGGCTCCCGGTGCCCAAGCGCTTGCCATCACGCTAGGGAGGCAGTACAACCCCTTGCAGTATATTCGGAATCGCAAAGTGCGCGCGCGTGAGAGGAAGGTGATTGACGGACAGCGGCAGGGCTTTAGCGATGTAGACGCTGTTACGTCGTGGGTCGAAAGCGTTCATCGGCAAATGTCGCTAGCCGGGACGTCGCTTGTCGACGACAGACCTTCCATCCCCCCCTATCAATACGCCGAAGATGTCGATCTGCAGACCTCGCCTTCGGAGGCCGTAGCGAGGCCACGGCGGCCGAGAGTGGACTGGATCTTGGACCCTTGCGATGTGATTGCCGATGCATACTGGCTGGAGCAGAACGGGCACAAACATCTTATTGAAGACCGCCATTGGCGAAAGATTTTCCCGCCGCCTGCGACCTCCGATTTGAGTAGACCTTTATCCCGAGAAGTAGATGATACCAGCAGCAAGATCTCGCCGTTCACAACAAGAGACAATGAATTGATCGAAACGATTACTGAGGGGAAAGAATTTGGGTTGTCCAAAGTTCGCTCGGAATTGTCTCATAGCAGTACAAAGGAGCGTGCCAAACAGAAGCTACAGAACATCAAAGGTTTCCACCACCGGCATGGAAGCGCCGGGCATGGCCACGATATACTGCGATCAAAGAAGGATTCTGGATCTGAATATTCAGACAGCGACAACGACAGTGAGCCAAAGAAGAGGATGCGACCTGCACGCAAGGGAACAATTTCCAGCAACTCAAACGATCTGCTGCAGAAGCAGATGATGGAAATGGTGGCCAAGGAAGCACGTGAAAGAGAACTTGAAGATATGGCTTTGGCCAACGAGAGCGCCGATGATCAGAGTGTTGAGGCACAAGACATGAGGCGACTTTCACAACCGCCGTCCCGATTTACTAGCAGGCGAGGCTCTCTGGCGGAAATTAGCGACTCAGAACGCAAAGCTGCCGTGTTTGAAAAGGTCAAGAAGAGCTCTCCCTCGCGCCTGAGTCTTGATGCCAATTATCTTTCGTCATCTCTAGGCAAACGAGCTTCGTTTCCCAACTCACCGGAAATCTTGCCACTTCGCAATGGCAAGTCTGAGTCGGTTGCCAGCGCTGACCCTTCACCACCATGGAGCCGATCAACGTCTCCCACAAGAAACCCCTTTAGCAAGATTAAGTCAATCATTCGAGACAAGAACGACGACACTTATGTACTCGATGAAGTGGAAGATGAGGGAGAAGGGCGATCGTCAAAGCGCGACAAACTTTTGGCACGTTCAGGCTCGACGTCTACTCTGGGTAGGCGTCAATCTAGCCCTGCTGGAAAGCTGATGTCAGGAACCGACGGCGGTAAAAGCGCTCGCAACACGGGGAGCATGCGACTTAGAGCTGACGAAAACGTTGGCTTGAGAGGCATGTTCAAGGGGCCGCGTATCGACAACGTGCTTCGAGGCGGTGTTTCCAAGTTGGGAGACATTATCCGTAAGAAAGAGGGATCTGGTGAAGCACCCGACCTCGACACGACGGATGAATCTGATAGTGATAGGATCAGGGGGCGAAAGTCGGCTCCCTTTTCTCTATCGCGAAAGCCTTCCACCAGAGCACAAGAAGTACAGCACCAGCCGAAGCACTTTCTTGATACGATGCCTCAGTTTCATCGCATGCCTAGCTTTCGCCACGCCGCTAATGGTGGTGAGAAGCTTGCTGCTGCCGCTGATTCTGGCGCAGAAACCCCCGGTCGTCGGGCCGCCGAACTTGATCTTCTTCGACCTCCGCTGATTAAAATCCGGAGCGCCTCATCGTCTGGGTCTTCTCCGGTGCAGAAACCTCGCATAGGAGACTCGGACGTCTCCGAGTCCGAATCCTTACCGAATAACAGCAGCACTGCCCCCGACGCGGCGGATAAGCGTGGGAATTCAGCCCTTTCGCTCAGCGACAAGGATAACCAGCATCGACGACTGCCGGGCGAGCACTGGTCGATTGCTGACCATGGCTTTCCTGGTCAGATGAGGCTTTCGAAGCGCGAAGTCGCTAGGATGCGGGCCCTGATACTCAGCTCCGGCGTCAAGGCCATGGAACTGCGCCGTCGCGCCAACGAGCAGCACAAGCCGTTCAGCAAGGAGAACCTCGCCCTGAACGCGGCCGCTGCCTCCCCGAACGAACCCGGCGGCGTCCCCTGGTCGGACATTGCTAGGCTTACCCCCAAGCAAGCCCAGCTCAGCCTCCAGCTGCACGATCAGCAAGTGCCTTACTGCGAGGTATATCCCCTCGCCGCCCGCACTCTGGGCGTCGCCATCCAGACGTGGGGCCAGCGGTGGCAGTCTTCGGCCGACTACTTCCGGGACAAGACGACGCATGACCTTCGCACGCGCGTCTGGGAGGTTCGCACGCATATCGCGGATGACTTGTCCGAGCTGGCGCGCAAGGCCGCCGACGAGGCGGACGAGACGAGCCGCGACTTGATGCTCGGCCAGCCTCTCAAGATCAAGCACGTCATTGACACCATGGACAAGATGCTGCGTACGCGGCGTAGACGGTTCCGCTGGTTGAGACGCGGGCTCTGGCTTACGGTGGAGTGGCTTCTCGTGGGCTTCATGTGGTATGTCTGGTTCATGGTGATGATCCTGCGCATCTTCGTCGGCATCGGCAAGGGGGCTTTGCGAGGCGTCAAATGGCTTCTCTGGCTGTGATTCTCAAGACCACTTTGTTCTCACTGCTTCACCCTTTTATTCTCTCTTTACCACCATCTCCTCATATTTGTTGGATCGAGTTTCTCCAGCATCAGTATATCCCCCATATCCATATCCATTGCATTACCATCACTCTCATAGGATAATTCAGCACTGTAGCTGTTAATCCTTCCCATTCAACCATAACCCTTTTATCCTATACGCTCCTACTTCCATTACTTTCTTCCTCTAATTTTTTTCTTTCTGTCTGTCTGATACCCCAAATTATTCTACAGTCTCGAATTCTTTTGTCTCGGTGTTGCGGTTGGCAACTTTTCAGGACCCCGATGCATAGCCATGGAGTGAGGTAGCAAAAATACGCATATGTTCATCATTCCACGACGTGTTTAAAAAACTCCCCTTTTCTCTTCTGCTCAAAAACTGTACGTGTATTTTTCAACTTATCAAGGCCTTAACTTAATTTTTTTATCCAACAAAACATATAACTCTTTGTAATTGAACAAGTAAAAAAAACAAAACAAATTAGGCAAATAATCATATTGACTATATATCTTTCTATTATTTTGCATCCTCTTCGATCTTTTGACTGAGAGAAAAATGGTCTTTGTCTAAAGAAAAGACTTTGTATAGACTCCAGACGGATGTAGAAAAGGGGGCCACGGCACTGGCCACGAGGAACAGAAATCAGATGTTATAGTAATAACAAATGAAGAAGATGAAAAATAAAGACTACAAAGAACGTTTTTTCTCCGTCTGCTGACGGTAATTGTCCCAGGAGGAGCTTAAGGGTGATTATATGAATTAACGCTGCATCTGCAAGCAAAGTCTAACAGCGACGAAGGGAACAGAAGAATAAGGGGAGCCGAGGGCAAAAAAAAAAAGTTGAAATGGAGACCATAGATCGTCTATTTCCCGAGATCGTATGGGGTACATCTATTCAATCCTCTTCTTACCCTCCTCGGCGTTGATGAACCGAGCGGTGCTGAGCCCACGCTCATGTCTAGCAACAAGTGATCCAATGACGGCGTCCTTCTTGGCCTTGGAGAAGTTCTGGGCGTAGCCATCGATCGCATACCCGAGAGGGTTCAGGCGTGGCCAGTTTACCTGCAAAACGCATGTTAGTCTCAGCTTCAGGAGAGGGGGAAAACATAAATGGGGCGGTCGCTTACATAGAGCATGCCATGAGTCCAGACAAAGTGGAAGCACCAGGCCGCCACGCTGGACCAGAAGAGAATGAAGAGGCGCATGGGAATGACGCTCGAATTCGGGGGCCGTCTGGTGAAGATGCCCACGAGGACGATGAAGATGCTAAAGGCCAGGATATAGGGAATAGCCTGGATGAGGACCGGCCGCCTGTCGCCGAAAATGAGGTTGGTGCCAACGTTGGCCTCCCCAGGTTGATAGACTCCGAGGAACAAGTCGTATGCGTCCTGACGAGGGCCATCAAGGAAGTTGTTGAGGCAGTATCGTGTGAGACCAATACGACCATCTTGCAAGGCTCCCATTGGCGTACGCTTGCCAGTCCTGGTGACGTCCGTCTTCATGGCGCCAGTTCCAGAGTAGGCCGTGGAGACAACATCGGCATTGTCGGCCCAGATGTTGCGGAAGAGGAACTCGAACTCGGCGTCTTCGTTCTTAAATGATGCGCCCTTTGCGAGCAGGCCGGCATCTTGCAGCATGCGGTCAAGCGTGTGACGAGCAAAGATGCTTTGGACGACGTTGGTACGGTCAAGGCAGTCCATGCAGTTTGTGCGCATCACGCTGGTCTGAAGGCTGCGGGCCTCGATCCTTCCATCGTTGTTTCCTGGCATTTCGACGCCACGGAAGTAGCCCTGCGCATCGACAGCGTCCCGGAGTCTGTCCACGATGGCGTAGGCCTTGTGCATCTGCATGCCCTTTGTCTCGCTGTGATAGTCAAAGTAGACATAGTGAAGGCGGTCAAACTGCTGGCGACTCGAGCCGGGCTGGATCGTCGTAAACTTCTCGTCGGTAAGACGATCGGCCTCTCGCCGCTCCTTGGGCATCGAGACAAGAGCCTTGGCCATCTGCTCGTAAGACTCCTTGACCTGCAACTCTCGTCCCTTGTGGTTGACCAGGTTGATGAGGTAGTTGTCTCCGTAGATGCGGATCTGCTCCTCAAAGTGCTTGGCTGAAGCGGCGAGGGCGGCATCTGTACTGCGCACCTGGATTTTCGGCGTGTACTTTAGGTTATTGACCTCGGACCAGAATGTGGGCACGCTGCCTCGAGTTTGGACGTATGATAGAATCTGCATCTCCTGGCCTGCCGACGCGCCAAACTTGCCACTCTGCATGTCACTGCTGCCAGCAAATCCTCCGAGGCCGGTGCTGCTGCTATCGTTGAGGATGACGATTTGCTCCGTCTCGTTGTAGTTGGCAACATGGCCATCTTCGTCTACACCTCGAGTGAAAAATCGGGTTCCGCCACGGTATCGTGAGCGTCGGGAAATCAATACGATAGTCAGGGGTGTGCTCTTGAACTTGGTCTGCTTGATTTCAAACATGCCATACATGCAAGGAAGAATGTAGGGATCAATGGCAGGCTGCGGGCCAGGCTGACTACGAGATCCCGCGGTGCGGAACTTGATCAGCTCGGACTGCAGATACTTGTTGAAGAAGAAGCGATCATCTGTTCTCAGCCACAGGGGTCGGGAGGTGTCGGCATGAGATTGACGCTGGATCGAGTTGGTGAGATCGATAGAGTAGGAAAAGTACATGGGGCCTTGAGCAATGAAGGTCTTGAGGAGGCTGATAAAGGTGTCTTCGTCCGGATCGTGGATCTGTCGCTCGCGCATGGGGAGAATCTCGGTCGAGATCACCTTGTAGACCATCTGTCCCTTGAGCCTGCCCATGGGCTTGGCCTTGTTGATGATGATGACATACTTGTCTGGAGTACGATTAGGGCCCGTTGCAGATGCAATAAAGGATCATGGTTGGTGGTTATAGAGCCATCACTGACCTAGAGGGAGCTGGATGATGCCGAGGATTCCAGAGATGCTGGACACGCGGGTCGCGCGCTTGGAGGAATTGAAACCGCCCTGAACCAGCCGGACATCTCCCATGGGACGGTCAATCACCAAGGCCGGCGCATCAGGTGATGAGGGCGAGGTAAAGGTATAAGCATCGCTGGTGACCCTGAGGTTGATGTCGCGATAGGGCAGCTTGGCCGCTGCGAGGTGCGCCATGGCTGCAGATGGCTGTGATTTCTAGGCACAACGTCGCTGATTCTGTCGACGCAGCTCTCGGCAATCTCGAGTTTGCAAAGGCGGGCACTTCCGTCTGCTGCGTGATGAACAACTCAAGCTGTCTTGGTCTCAATCACATGTGGAATGGGAGATGCTGTAATGCCAGCAAGGCCTCAGAAGGGATATTGGAGTGCACAGCCTCATCAACTGGTGGGCAAACGTCACTGCAAAGCCACAGGAGGAGCTAGGCAAAAAGGGGGAAAGGGTGGCGCTGCTTACATATGCAACTCCTTTTAGAGGCGAGGGGCATCAGGAACCATCCGGGTACGTACCCGAGGGGGGAAACAGCCATATAAAAGCAGATTGCTTGCCCCTTTCGTATACGCTGTAAATTGAACAAGGAGTGCCGTATCATAAGGCGAAGGCAAGGATAGGATGCTCGACTATTTGATACGTTCTCGGATTAGAATTTATTGGGTTCTTGACGATTGCATCTTGCATCTTGAATTGACTTTGATTAAATTTATAGTGCAGTCGTATCATCATAAACCTCTCTCTACCTTTTATAACGTTCAATGTAAGAATAACAACAGTAACATCTACCAAGACATGAAATTAGAATAAAAAAGAGAAATTATCGAAATAAAGGCACCTTGGTGGGTATACTGTGCCCAAGTTTCTTTGCCTTATGCCTCAGTGCAGAGTCCAAGTCCCGCCAACAACACCTCCGCGGTAATGTCAATAGCTCCAGACGCCTTATCCTCAATGCCAAACCCAATGAAAAGCTCGTCATCTAGGTATCCGTGGTATTTTAAAAGAGGGCTCTTCCAAGCAATCGACGTAACGTAAATCATCTCCGAAGTAAGGCGATCCGGGTACTGCTGGCGGCCGTGGATCCAGATTGGCCGCTTCGACATGGCATGGATGGCAAAGGGCGCATGCTCCTGGAAAAGCATAACGTACGGCTCGTAGACTGCGTGCCAGTTGTAAAAAGACTTGTGCTGCCAGATGGTGAAGATGAAGGTGTTGGACTTGTCGGCAATGCAAATTGCGTCTGTCCGCTTGCACATGGTGACCTTGAGCGAATTACTTGCTTGATGGACTGATTCGTTCTCGGATATTGTTTTGGGCAAATATCTCTCCAGACACTTGTTGTCTTCTTCTTCAGTGAGCAATGCCAGGTTGGCACTGACAGAGCCATCTGATTCGACTCGAGCAAAGACTCGTTTCGGCGCGACATCGTGGTGAACATACATCTGGCCGAGGGGATCCCAGAAGGGGAACCAGTTCTTCTCCACGGCGTTCCATGGCAGAGGTCGCTGCAACTCTGTGCCCCTGAGGAAAGCCTTTGAGCCACCCCACTGACCGGTCCACTCCACAAGTTCGCGAAAGTCCTGAATAAACTGGCCAAAGCAGGTGAACTGGGAATTCGAACCGTAAACAATATACGGAGATTCCGGCCCGTAAAGGACGCGGGCATCGTGAGGGCCGACGTTGGCGGAGAAGAAATCTAATTTGCCTTTACATTTCCCGCCTTCTGTTGGCCGAACGGGAAGTGCTGTCGGAGGCTCAATGCACCGCAAGACCTTACCCGTGAAAGCAGCATGACACACGAGTTCTGTGAAGTAAACGCTTTGTTCATCTGCTCCCCGTGCCAGCTGTGCTACCACGATCCATGTATCTGCCAGCGTAGGGTGAGGAATGATGTTGGGGTTCATCCCCCTGTGCCCTTCGCCAAAGTCAACGGCAAAGTACTTTTTGTCCATGGTAGTGATTGAGAAGATTTCCTGGTGGGTA